GATGTTGCTTTGTTGGAGGGTTTTAAAAAATTTAAGTCAAACGTCTTCTGATGCAAACCAAAAAGGGAGTCGAGGTGTTGAAGTTGCATCCCAACTTGAGCAAGAATCACAGAATCATAGAATTGCTTGGGTTGGCACAGAGCTGCCCCAGCCTGGCCATGATCTCGGTGTGAGGGTACGGCTTTCGTGTCCTTCTGCATTTTCACAAACAAGTGTCAGGGCTGACTCGATTCCTGTTGGCTTCACAAGCAATCTGCACGGAGCTGCAGGTGCTGTGAGCAAAGCGTGGTGACCTGAGCAGGTGGCTGCTGAGCAGCTGTCCTGCACGTGCCTCTCAAAGATCTCGTGCTATGTCATTTTAAATGCAAAATAACCTTAATCAGAAAAAAAAAATAGGGATGTTGAGTGCCGTGATTTTAAATGTTTTGTTAAGGAGAAAAAAAACCAAAGCCACTTCTCTTCCCAATTCAAATTGAGAACCGAGTTCCCTGGGTCAGTGTTAGTCAGGCTGCTCCTACCTCAAGCAGATTCTCCCATCTGTGTCCCTAGCCTCGCTGCCCCTTTGCAGAGCACAGAGCTGATGCCCACCCTTCCCCTCCAGCATGCTCTGCATCTCGCCCTGCAGCACCGTGCACAGCAGCAGTGAGGGCGTGCAACTCCGCTGTGCTTTGCAGGTATCTTCCTCTCCCCAGCACTGCTTGGTTTCACTGCCGAGAAATTAGACCAAATGGAATTTGAATTGTTTTGCAATGAGTTGCAGTGAGGCAGCACTGTCAGTTTAATTAGCTCTTAACTCCAAGCTCGAAGCTTCTAATAAAGGTGCTCAGGAGCATATGGGTAGCAGAAAGAAAACAAATAATGGCAGGGCTGTTTTTCATGAGGATGAGGCGGCGTTCTTCAGAAAGGAACTGTGTACAGAGAACATCCCTGTGATTCACTGAGCCCACAGTCAGCTGTGTGATCTGGAGCAGAGGGGGTGGGAAATCAGCTGGGAAAGGATACATGCTGTGTTGGGCTGTGCACAAATGAGTTTTGGGAAACAGTGTTTCCTGTACCAAAGATCAGCCTGGGCTGGACCACAATGTTAAGTCTTATTTTCCAGTGTTTTTAATGGATTTAGACAAAACAGACCCTGTGCTGGCCCATTAAACCTTGTCAGATGTAATCTCTAACAATTTTAAAGGAAAGATTCCTAGAGGCATATCCTGGAAGGTAACAGATGTCTCAATAGAGACTGAATCTGCAGAAGACTGAAAATTTTACAGACCAATTTTACAGTTGCTTGTGTGTTGACCAGAGCCAAGAGGGCTGCTGCAGCCTGAGCAGGTGGGTGCAGGTGGGAGTTTGTTGCTGACAGCTCCATCACTGTCAGGCTTTCGTCTCTGCTGATGAAAATCTGAACTGCAGGCAGTGGGACTGGAGCAGCACTCGGTGCAAAGGAGGCTCAGAAATCCCTGTTTGTTCCCATATGAATGAGTTGCTCTGCTCACATGCCATTTCCTGAACTGGATCTGCATTTAGCTATAAAGTCCTGAACATGATTGACCTCTTCTGACATCCTGGTGGCAGGAGGGTGCTCTGGGGAAGCACTAATAACTGTTGCTCCAGGGGAACCAAGAAGTCTTATTCTACTTTCGCCTCTCTGCAGCTGGCGGTCATCTCTGCGGATGTCAGAAGAGGATGAATAATTTGTAGTATTTACTTGACTTATTTAGCACATTTTCTCCCCCCCTGCCACCTAAAATTCAGCTGAGGAGCTAATAACTTTCCTGGAAATGAGTCATCATAGCAAACCTTTCTATGAGCAGTTCAGTAGTTTATGGTAGGTAGATCATCGACAGCATTTGGTACTCAAGATTATAGCTGTTTTTATTGGGCATTTCGGTCTCGGGCAACGTGGTAATGCCCTCATTTGAGGGACAGTAGATATATAAATCAGGTGTTTACCATGATGAATCAACCATGATGACTTTTTAAAACTTGGCTTTCTGAAAGCATTTGCTGTCTCTCTTTGCTTGAACCGCATTCAACGTTTGTGGCAACATGTTTGCTAAGAAGCTTGAAAAAAAATCCAACAAAGACACAACAGCTACAAAGGAGGAAACATATGTTTCAAAGTAAGGGAGACTCATTCCTCCAAAAACATTTGTATATTTTTTCAAGTCTCCCAATATGAGCAATTTTTTCATTTATCGTGAAGCAGACTTGAAGCCCAGCTAGACTTGAGTTGGTAGCAAAACGCTCTCAAAATCTGCCACTAGAGGAGAAACAATATGTTGCTGTATCCAAAACATGCAGAGGGGAATTATGCAAAGAGATTACTCATCACTGGAGGAAAGTCTTGATTTCAAGTTCCCAGCATTGATTTACGTCGGGACTGCAACACTGACATCTCTGCCTTGCGCAATAGGAAAAGGCTTTTGCCTCCCCTGCAGCTGCTGTGGGCTGAGGCTTGACATAACTGACCTGAGCCACGATGAACACGTCTGCAGCCTTGACTGCAATGGCACAGAGCCAATGTGGGCCTGCTCTGGCAATTCCAGCTCAGGCGGGTGGCCAGCAAAGGAATCAAGCCCTGATTCAAAGAACTGCCCCAACTGCTCACCTGTCAGCTGTGCTTTCAGCTGGCCGCTCACGTGGCACCTTCTGTTCTGCTGGAAGGTGAGCATCCGGGGCGGTTCTTCCTTGAATCTGTCTGTCTGGTGGCTTGTGTTGACAGAAATATAACAACAACAAAAAAAAAGCAGATAATAACTTACTATGTTCTATAGCTCCTATTCATTATTTCTGGGCTTGAGAACAAGCGACAAGGAGTTAATGCAGTTGCTGCAGAGATGACTGCACTGTCTGAGTTTCATGGCTCCACCAAGCTGCGACCCAGCTGACTCACCCTATCTGGGAAAGGGAGTTTCGTGTCCTTATTGCCTCCCAGAATGGCTTAACTGTTGATGCACAGCCCCATGAGTTGCTTGGGGAGAACCCTCCTGCCTTCTGATCCTGATAGAGGAGCGTGTTTGGGGTTTTCTTTTCCCTCTGCCCTGACCCGGGGAACAGCCCTGGATCCATGAGGGCACCTATGGGCACAAGCATTCAGATGGGGAGGTAGGACAGCAGAAGCCATTAAGAAGGGAGAAAAGGAAAAGGAAAATATTGTTTTAGTATTCTTCATTGCCTGGAGCAGGTTGGCAAGGATCAGAAATGTGCTCCCTTGGGAAAGCATAGTGCTCTGCAGAGCTTGTCCCTGCATGATGGGACAGGTGAACAGGGAACCCCAGGGCAAGAGAAGAGAAAGTGAGATACAGAGAGCAGAACTGAGGCAGGAGACACAAAGAGGGAGGAAGGACCAGGAGCCAGAGACCCAGAGACATCCATCTTCCCTGTGCACGTTAGGGAAGATCTGATAACACGAAGTACTTTAAAGCAAGTCTTTGTGCTCTGCTCTGTGTCCTCTACTGCGTATATGAGGGACCTGCAAGCCTGCAGTTCATGTTTGGGGTTGGCAGCCAAAGGAATTTCTACTCCCCACTGATTACTGAGCTGCTGGGATGCCACCAAGCAGTGCCACTCACTGCGCTGCTCCTGCTGTCAGCTCTGAGCTGCGGGGCGGTGTGTGGGGAGAGCAGCCCATCTGCTCTGACCCCGTCCCACCTGCACTGCTGTCCCAAGCAGCTGATGGACACCTTGCTCTGCCCAAGCAGTGTTTGGATTTGGAGAGTTCACTGGTTTGGTTCTTTGGTTTTCTGCTGCGTTGTGCCTTTCTGAACATAGGTGTGGGGCTGGCAACAGGCCGAAGAGAACTGAGGGGCTTTCTAACAAACTCCATATGGGGTTGGGATGGCAAACATGTTTTTCTCTTGCATTGTTGCAATGGGTTGTTTTGCCTGCTTTTTGGGAAACAGCAGGGGCTTTCTTTTCCCCAATTATGTGAATAATTAGATTTATTTCAGTATTTACAAGAGATTGCTAAACACTTTGGTTTCAAGAAAGCTGGGAAGTCAGCTCTCTTGGGGGTGATGCAGTGAGTGGGTGGAAGAGGCCACAGTAGGGCATGGCTCTGCCTCTGTGGGGGAGATAAGAGGCACCTAAGAGTGCTCAGGTGCCCCCCACGGTCTGAGGTGTTTGCAGAAAGGAACAAGTTTCTCAGTTATCCCTTAGCAGGTGACTGTGTTCTGCCTGCAGGGCTCGGCTGCCTGGGGAGGCTGCTGGCAGGGCAGAACTGGGCACTAGCATCTTCCAGAGGCAGCTGGGGGGCTGTGAGGTGAGATGGCACCTAAGGTGAGAGTGGTTTTACTGTTGTGTTGGGGTTATTTTGTCACCAGTCCTGCCTTGTGTGGTGCATTGCTGGAGGATGAACTAAGGTAGTGCCGTGTGGTACTCTGGCAAGGAGCAAAACAAGTCGGTGATCATTTCTAAATAATTTCAGTGGACATTACCATTTATTTGCTATGTGCTTTCTCTTGGCTGGGCAGTTCTGAGTTTTTTGTGTTGTGGTGTACAGCTCTTTGTACTGCCTGGTGATTTTGTGCTTATAGGATATGTTGATGGAATGTGACTTAGAGGGCTTCATTTTAAAGAGCCTGTATTGCCTTTTCTCTTGAAGGAGAGGCAACAAGTGGTCCTTCCACCAGACAAGGTCTGTCCAGCTCCCCAGCCTGACAGCATCCATTGCAGTCGTGCAGCATCCACAATTCGTGCCTTGCAGAAAGGCAGAAGTTGGATGTTGTCTTGGAGATGTCTTGGGGTTTCCAGGCCAAAGCTCTTTGGCTCCTTTCAACAGGCAATGAAAGCAAAATGTGAGCTCTTTAGGGCTGGGACTTCTTTTGTTACTTCTCTGATGCTGAGCACAGGAAAACCTCAGTCTTGGGAATCTGAGACCTTACCCAAATAATTGAAGGATTGCAGGGCTGCCAGACATGACCAGGAGTTGGTGGAGTCATACATGAAAGCGTGCTGATGTGGCTGCACCATTCCTTATCATGTTTTCTCTCATCCATCCCCAGGACCTCCCCTGGCACAAGCTCTCTTGCTCCCTTGGCTGGGATGAGGTGCTGTGGCCCCAGGCATGGGGCACACTGAGACAAACTGAGCAGCTTTTTGAAAATGTCTTGAGGTAAGCTTTGCCAAATGATCAAAACTTGGTAAAGAAAGCAAAGTATTCTCATCTCTCTCTCTCTCTCTCTCTCCTTTTTTCCTTCCAAATGCCCCATTTTCAAATCTGTCGGTGCTATTTTTTTTTTTCTTTTTTATTTAAGAGGATCAAACAAACCAAAACTGTTTCGTCTTGGTGCTGAGCAAGACCTCTTTGATTGGCCCCAAATGATGGTGTTTTGTTGTTCAGCATTTAATTTTCCTGAGGCCAGCTGCACAATCATTCGGCATCAGTCAAAAAATGTTTTCAATTCCTTGCCCATTTGTGGTCTGATAGATCCTCCCTGCTTTCCTGCCAGTTTGGGCAGTTGAACTGTGGGACCCCCATGTTCTTAGGGCTTGTGCCTTTGAGGCAACTACTGCTCCAGGAATAGAGAAGCCAACATGTCCAGATGCCCAAGCCAGTGGCTCCCTGCATTGTCTGATCCAGACTCCCGATTTATTTTGAGTGTCATTCCTAGCAGCCCACCATCTAGCATGAAGAAATTCTATCCACTCATACAATGAGAGCATTTCTCTTCTGGCTGTTGCAGGATGTAGTAACATTTGTTTTTTAAAAAATAATCTGTTTCTGAGAAGGAATTTGTCCCATTGTTGTTTAGAATAGTAGCAGTAATAACAATGCTGAAAGCAGAAATTAATAACCAGATAGAGCCAGGGCTAGGGGCGAGAAAATTGCTGCAACTGCTGGGAGCAGCAAAATAGCTGTGCCCCAGCTGTTTTCTGCCCTGCTTAGCAGATGTCTGGAAAGCCACTGCCGCTGTTCCAGAGGGCCAGAAAGATGAAGCTAAGCACCCCCAGCAACTGCCAGAATTCTCCATAACAGTATATGTATTCCCATCCTACAGATAAGAAACAAGACAGACAATCAGTGCTTTTCTTTATTTGTATAGCAAGCTCCAGGTCGTATACTGCAGAACAAAGAGTTAATTTATAATACCCCATCCAAAGCTGTGTTCTCAGTGCAGGAGAAGGACTCAGTTAATATTCAAACATCTCAGTGCAGAACCTGAGCGGAGATGGAGAACATTGTCCTGCCAAGCAGTGGGGTGAGAGAGAAGGGAGCTGAGCAATTAAGTGCAGTGTGACTTTGTGTGTGATGGATGAGGCATTTTTTTCCACTGACACAGCAAAGCCTCAATAATTGTCAGGCATGGGCTGACAACTCTGATCTCTGTTTGAATGTTGGGAGTAGCTCTCAGTGGGTGGGATTCTCAAAATTTGGGCTATATTTGCAGAGCAGCACAAGTGCTGAGAGCTCCTGGGGGTTTGTCTGGACCGTTTCCCTCAGCTGGAGGGACTTGCAAGTTCAAATATATGTGGATAGGATGAGAAGTCAGAGGCTCAAATTGCCTCTCTGGAAATGCAGGTTGAACATTTGAAAATACTTTCTAACAATGGGAACAGTGAAATATTCATAGAAATGGCAACGGAGGGCTGTGGACGTGGCATCACTGGGGTTGTTAAGAGCAGGTTAGAAAAACATCTGTTAGGAAAGATGTAGGCTGATGATCCTGACCTGAGGAAGTAATATGAATTGAACGACCTCCCAAGTTCCCCTTCAGGCCAATTTGCTTTGCTTCTGCAGTGTTGCATAGCAGTGGTTAGCAGATAAATTGTAGTATAGTGATTCCAATGATTTCTTCTCCCCAAAGTACATGTTGAGAGTTTTCTCTCCAGTGTAGCATGAAGACGTGTTTCAGTCAGTAAACATGCGTCTCAAATTAATACCTCAGGATTATTAAATTGGGAAGAAAAAGGAACACTTTATTTTCATAATAAGGAAATGAATTTTCAAGAGGAAAAAGAAAGAAATACTCGCCTTGTCCACCCCCAGAAAAAAAAAGATGCATCGACTGAAGGATGTTTATTGCTAAATAATGAGAAGAAATGTAGAGTAAAGCAAAAGTTCCTATCTTTGGGGAGAAAAGAGAGGAAAAGAAAGGAGTAAGTGCACAGATATGGGTCGAACAAAACCCTGAAAGAGAAAGAATTCCTAAATAAATTAAATTATACATCTGACGAGCACAAACAGCCTTCTACTTTCAAAAGGGATTTAACCCAGTTCTTCAAAGAAACAAAACCCAGCAGTAATTAGTAAAGTGCTTTTATCTCTTCTGGATTAGAGTATCCCATAAAGCTGAATTCCTAGAGGTGATGTTTCTCCTCCCCAGAATATCAATCCTTAGAAGATGTTGCACAATTCTTCTGCTTCAGCCCAATTGGGTGCTGAGGAAGTTGGACTGCCTGGGCTGTGCTTACTTAGCTCATAGGAAAGTCAGCTGTGATGAGACCCCTGATAGAAAGATGAGGAAAACGTCAGGAAACTGGGACTTGCCCTTTGATGTTCCTATGAGCTACAAATTGGACCTTGAAGTCCTGCTGGCCTCCCGTGTGCTGAAACGATTTGCACCCAGGGTGCATCTGTGGCACGTGGAGCAGCACCTGTGCCTGGTGTGCGTGCATGATGAGGTTGGGAAAGCCCAGCCAAGGCTGGGAGAGTGCAGGGTGAGGTGGTCCCATCACTTCAGCCAGGGGAACGAGCACAGGGAAATGAGGCATCGCAGACACGCTTGGAGTGGAAAAATACAACCTGGATAGGACATGTTTCTAAACTCCCTAGGGGAAAATGAAGATCAACTCGCGTGCTGCTGTCTTTGACTTCTCAGCCAACAGATGCGATACCAGCAGCTCCAAATCTGCATGCTGAGCCGAGTTGGTGTTAGGAACCAGACATTCTTTCTGGATGGCTCCTCCAGTCCAAATGTGACTGTGCCATCAGTCGCTTCCCTGCAGCAGAAGCAAAACTCCTGCTTTCTGTGTATCCCAGGTGCGTTTCCAAAGCAAGGCAGCTCACAGCCAGGGCAGCTCACATCCACAGAAGTTTTGGTTTTCATGTGATGCCGATCAATGAGCCTGATGCAGCCGTTGGTAGGGATCATTCCCTGCCCTGGGTTACATGAGGAGGCAGTGGGACAGCTGCAGTGCTTAGTCCTGCAATTGCATTGCCTGGTTCAGAGGAGATGTCCCAAGGGCCTACGGCTCTTTTTTATTTGTGGTTTTTTTTTCTTCCTTTAAGTGATGTATTTATCAGAACAAAGCATGAATGCAGTAAGTAAAGCAGCTCTCAGCAGTGCTGCAGATATGCAGGCAGATTGTTGAGGTTTCAGCTGCCTTAGCAATTTTGTCTGTGTTTCAAAATTAAAACTAGACAGCCTAAAAGAGCATCCCCCGAAACCTTCCCTTCTTCCCAGGCCAACTGCAGCAGGCAGAGCTGGCTGCATCCTGCAGATTGCCATGTTCCCAGCCCTGTCTGCAGCCATCCCCACTGCCAGGCTCAGACACAGTGTCCCACTGAGTGGCCAATGGCCCCAGCACTGCCAGGCCAAGCAGTTAGACTGGAGGCTGCATGGCTTTGCTGTGCTCCTACGCTCACTGCCTCATCTGCAGAAGGTGGCATTTCTGCCTCTGCTGCAGCCTTAGATAATGCTCTGTGCCTGCTGTCACTGCTCTCCCATAATTACCAGAAACATTGCTTTAAGAAGTTACAACTTCCTGGAATGATGTGAAAAATGAACCGTTTAGAGCACCAGTGAGTAATAGGTAATTGCAGGCTGGAGCATCTTTAAACACTTTCAGCCTTAAGTACATTTTTGAAGAGCGTCGCTCATTATTACCTTGCAGATCTTGATGGAGTTGCACAATCCCAGTAGCCTAGATTACAAATGATAAAAGAACTTTGTACTCAGGGGGACTGCTTGGCAATTACAGCCAGGCCTGAGGGGGGCAGAGGTTTCAGCCCCCTGCTCTGCTGCCACTGCAGCATTACCACTGTGGAGACAACGCAGGGATGTGTGTGTGCAGAGGGACTGTAGTGCTGCAGAGGTCCCTTAAAATCAGGTCCTGTAGAGTCTGATTCCTTAGGCACATAAACGCACCTTGAGAAGAGGAGCGATCCGCGAGAAGCTCTGTGCAGGCTAAGAGCTGTGTGTCTGACTCAGCAGCAAAGGTTAAGCCTTAGTTTGGTTGCTGCCAGGAGGAAGGTGCCAAACTTCTCCTGGGACCTTTTCTGGTCTCAGAAGTATAATCCCAGATCTATAAAATGAAGATAATCATCTTCTTTTGTGCACAGATAAATGCATTGACATGAGGAGCTCTAGCTCTCATGCGATGTATACATATGGACCTTTAATAGGGAGTGAAAGGCACATTTTCTCAAGCAGGGCTTGGGCACACTGTGCCTGGGCGATGCAGCGTGGAGAACCCAGCGCTGGTGGCCAAACTTTCCTTGCAGGAGGCAGCTGGGCTGCCAGCAACATGCCTTCCCTTCCCATGTCAGCTCTCCGTTTTGCATCCCATCCTCAGGCTGCCCTCTCACCCAGGATGACCCCAGCAATGTGCTCTCAGCTCTGAGCCACTGGAAATGAGGAAACCCCACCACCTGGCTGGAGGGAGGAGAGGATGCTGTGCTCCAGCTGCAGGCGGATGCCCTCATCCCCCTTCTGAGGAGACAGATATTCTCAATGAGCAGGAATGTTCTGTGTGTGCTGAGCTCCAACTCCTTGGCCTAAAACTTCTGAAGCTGCATTATTATCCCAGTTTATGCCATTCATCTGCAAATACATTAGCAGTATATTGATGAAAATTTCTTTTTCTCCCGCTTAAAATATTTCCAAGTGCATCTTCCCATTGTGTGCTCACACCATTTCTTGCCAATAGAAAGTAGTTCTCCAGTAGTTCTCCATTTTCTTGCTGTAATGTAAGTTTGAAGGGGAAGGACTGCTCCGCTGTGCTGCCTCTAGTGAGCATCTGGCCCTGTGTTCTACCCATTTCCAGGCACTACGTTCTGCACCACACTATTCTGGGAAGCAAGGGAAGGAGAGCAGCCCAGGAATAGGAAGGATTACGTGCTTTTATATCTGACTTGTATCCCTGGAGCAAGGAAGGACAGTGTTTAAAGGACTGCCTGCACCATCAGGAACCTGGCCACGTATATGATTGGCATTTGCAGTAGTAATGAGACATTTCAATTCTAATGAGCTCATTACTATTTTTATTGCTATTGTATTTTGCATTTTCCACAAATCATGCAAGGAGCTACTTTTCATTTCCACTTTTTACTGTGGAAAGTCTCAGGGCAATCCCAGCGTCTGCGTAACGGAGAGGAATTAACCCCTACGGAGACAAAGCAGGGGAAGCTGCTCAGAACTGGCCACAGGGGAAGAGGAGAGAATTGAGCTGTGCCTGGAAGCTAATTCAGTAAGGAGATCCTACGCTGCTGTGAAATCCAGGGACAGCGTGTTTTTATGGATGCATCTCCCACTCAGGAACGTCTGTACAAAATCAATCTGCTCCTAAGGGGAAGCTTGGCATATATATTAAGTTCTCTGTTGACAGTTTCTTCCAAATATTGATTTGGATCAGAGTTTCTCTGTCATTTTGCACTGTTTTGCTTTAATGATAAGACAAAAAAGCTTTGGCTTTGCAGCAGTGCTCAAGTTCCCAGTATTGCTCGGCTGGTCTGATCCATGCCCCTCCAGAGCCTTCTTGTCTTTTTTGAGATCCAAGTATGTGTGCAGTAGAGCAGTCCCCAGAGACAGCTCGTGTTGGGTTCCAGTGACCCTGCTGGCTTGGATTACTTTGGCCAGGTTCCATTCAAGCTCTGGCTTAGGCTGCTTGCTGTTACCTTTCCCAGATTGATTAGCAGACACTCTCAGCTTTAGCTCACAGTGAATAGGCAGTACCTGGGAAAACAATCCTCTGCCATCCCTCAGGCTCCATGATGGGGCTTAGTGAGGGGGTTATTAGAGTTAAGGTAGTATGGTCAGGTTGAGGTTGGATTTGATGATCTGTAAGGTCTTTTCCAACCTGAGCAATTCTATGATTCTGTGATCCAAAGGGGCAGCTCCACCACGACCCTGTGGATGTTTGCAGACACATCAGAGTGCAAATGAGACATCACTTCGAATCAGCTGCTGGAAAATCATGTAGCTTTGACACACTGCTGTGTAACCAGGCCAATTCTAACGGGGTAGAGAAGTGGTTAGGTTGCGTAGTTATAGGGGTGATTGAGCCTTGCTCTGAGTTCATACCAAAGGATAAAAATCCACTGATCTGATTGATTTAGAAGGGATATTATGTTGGTGTGCATCCTTTTGGATATTCGAGCAGCCTGCTTTAACCTAGGCAGGTGGGTGAGAAGACTCCAATGTGGAAATGTCTATCTCATAGGCTGGATGCTGTGTCAAAGTAACATACATTTTTTTTTTTTGGCCACCAGTAAGGAGAAAGACTCTTAGAGCCTCTTTTCTGACTTTAGACAGAACTTGGAAAGCCCCACCTTTTGTATTGTCTGTACAGCTTAGACACATCCTGCAAGTTGTGTGCAAAGTCACACAAACAGTTGCTTGAGAAAATGAATTGCCACCAAAGAACACAAAAAAAAGAAAGTGTGTATGTCTGCTAGTTGAGCGATTATTTCGTTAAAGTTTCAACTTCTGGCAAGATCTGTCTCTCATTCCCTCTGTGTCCTATGGCTGCTCAGACATCATCCTTCTTCCGAGCCTAGGGTGAGGGCTGGCCTGGTTTTGATGATCTGTAGACTTTGGTGGCATCTGGCAGTAGCACTGCCAGCTGTTGCAGAGACAATAAAGAAGTAAGAAAGACAAGAGAATTGAAAAAAATATATAAATTTTGACAGTGTCTGTTCAAAGACTGTCTTACAAATGCATATGGAAGGAAAATTTGGGTACAAATCCTCTGTGCCTTTCAGACAAACCTGCTGCTGCTTTATATAGCTCACCAAGGGCACAGGGGGAAGAAGGAGTGTAAATTTGCCGAGGCAGAATTGCATGCTGTATCTCCTTCAGGAATTGAGAAGCTGTTTAAGTGAACCTAGAGTCTTTTTCCCACCACCTTAGAAATTTCTCTGTGTTGTCATTCTTCTGTGAGCTGCTGCACTGGTACTTTGTTTTGATATCTTAGGGAGCGAGATGGGAGAATTAGCAAGAGTTTTGCTCCTGGCAAGATCATCTAGGCCATCTGCTGTTGGCTGAGCATAGAAAGTGCCTCCTCTGCAGGTGTCTGAGAGCTCTGGGGTTTGTGACAAACCTCAGTGGGATTCAGGTGAGATGCAAACCAGCAGGAGCTGCTGGGGGTTGGTTCCATCCTCAGGAAGCTGCAGTAGAGGGGAGGGGGGCACGCCAGTGTCCGTTAGATTTCATGCAGGTCCCATGCAACCAAAACCCAAAGGAATGCTATCAGAGTGATGCAGATAGCCCTCCATGAGGCCTCGTCCCTATGGCAGCTATGTGCTTCATGAAGGACCTTGTCCCTTCCAGCTGCTCTCAGCATCCTCCTTTTCTCCCCGAGGCTGCAACCCCTTGGTGGGCTCCCATCCACTCATTAGTGCATTGCAAGCCAGTGCTGGATTTGTGCTCAACACCAGGGGCTCTGCACTATGTGTATCTTATCTCTCACTAGAGGTTGTTATATTAAGCTATGATACAGAAAATAGTGAGAAATATCTACAGTGTTACTCCTCAGAAACAGACAAGTTTCTGTGTGTGTGTGATTGCTATGCTCAGTGTTTGATCCCAGCTGGAATCCAGAGGGATGGGAGTGAAAAAGTCAGACACATTTTTTTGCAAACCACAACAACGGGGTTTGGTGAAGGGCAGGACAGTGCAGAAACTGGTACAGTGAAAACAATGCAAACAGTACAAAACCAAGCCATGGTGGCAGATGCTCATTAATTCTTCCTTTCCACTGTTCCTTCGTGTACATGTATGATGGTTATCATCCAGAGTTATCCGGTCCCTGGGGTTCAGTATGAACCTGAAATCTCTGGTGTCACCTAGGACACGATGTGGGGGTTAGACAGGCAGGGTGGGCAGCATATAAAATAGTCATGAATTCCAATAACTTGATGACAGCTGAATGTTATTTTTAGAATGTGATTGACAGGGGTTGGATGAGCAGTGCTGTGTCCAGCTAGCTCTGATGGGCCCAGTAAAGCAACACTGAAGACAGTGACAAAATGATGTCATTGCTGAGTGAAGACAATATTCTGGTCCTGAATGGCATTTCTGACGCGCAGTGATCCAAATGCCATCCTTTGCTCACCTTTTTTATGGCTCATTTCTCTATTCTCAGCTGTTGCCTCTGAGCTCATGACAGAAGGAGGATAAAAGCCCAGGATACCTCTGTGATAGACCCTATCGTACTTTTCCCATTGAAAGAATGAAAGCATTTAATAGGAGAGAGGCATTAATCAGTGACTGCAATGTGATACCCTCAAAACAAGGCTCAATGCTGATATTAGTGTCAGTGGGCACTGATTCTAAACATCCAACCTGGAGATGAGGGCAAACGAGTAAGTCAAAAGAAGCTGACACGAATAACTATTTTTGCAGGCAGAGCATCCTGTGCTTCTGCACTGTTTTCTTACCTTTCCTTGCCAGCAAGGGAATGTTTGGGGTTTTTTCTTCTATTCTTCTGAATCCCAGTTGTGATTCTGCTGTCATAACGCTTTGCATCTGGGACAGTAAAAAATTGCTGTGCATTAGCACTTATTGGACTTGACCTGGTAACCTACTGTTCCATGGAAGGTGGTTTACAGCTTTCATTCATGGCGCAGCATGACCTCATTACTGCAGTTCTGAGGGAAGCAGCAGTGTAGCTGCGGTCCTAGTTTACGTTTTTTACTTTCTTTTCTATAGATCCTTGGCAATGGAGAGAGATTGCAGTGCAAGCACTTTTCTGGATTACTCTGTCACCAACGTCAAATCAAAGCATCAAGGATATAAATCTTCAGTAAACATCTGGCCTCACTTCAGCCAGGTTCTGCAATGCCTCAAGTACATTCGGCAGCAGATTATGCTGTGTTCTCCATTTGTGCAATGCAAGCTAATGTGAATATCAAGTCACATCAGTGGTCTGGACAAGTAGTCAAGAGACAAAGACAGCAACCCAGACTGGGAAGTTCGACCTTTCAGGTAAGATTAAACTTTAAGTTCAAAGCTGCTAGCTATGCTGCATTCAAAGGGTTATGGAAACTACTCACATGTTGGGGCTAGAAACTTCAAATCTCCTTCTACCAGGAAAGCATTGCAAACAAACCCTGTGGGTGTTTATATGGAACTGCAGCAGAGTAACACAGCAATGCTCTGGCTGTGCTGGGATGCAGAAATTTGGATTTCTCTATCCTTTTCTTAGATATTTTTTCAGATAAACAACATATCTTTCTCCATCTTGCAATCACATTGATGGGCTTCACTTGTCAAAGCTGGAGCTGTCAAAGCTGGAGCTCAGCTTCTGCCATGGGCCACAGGAGGAGGAAAAATGGAAGAAAAATCTTTAGGGGAAAAAAAAAAGGAAAGAGATAAGCAATAGGATTTCAGTCAAGAACTGGGGCTGATTTTAGTTTTCATGGTAATGGATTTGTTTGAAGAGAATATATTTAATCTATAGATCCAACCTGGGATTACATGGAAAGGTCACTCAACTCTGCTCGTCCTCCCAGTCTCTCATTTCTGTTTGACATCAGCAAAGCCTGAATTTTAATATTTGTTATATTTAGGGCAGATGATCCATGCAGTCAGAATCGAGGATTAGGAATTCATTTTGTAAAGCACTACGTAAAAACACGACAAAATTTGACCCTGGCTCCAACTCTCGTAGTCCACTTGAGTCTAATTGTAAAAGCAGGATCAAAATCTAAAGAGAAGCAAATGTAATTGGTGCTAGTAGATGTTTTTGCTTTTGCCTTTTCCCTTGCCCAAGAGCTTCTGTACACAGAAGCACTGAGGTAGTAGAGGGCTGCTTTGTGCACTGATAGTACAAAACAAGATTAGTCAGGAGCAATAAGAACGACCCCAGCTGTTGTCTGCTGGTAGAAACCTTTTAAAAAGAAAAAGGACAGAAAGTTATTCGATAATTACGAGGAAGGAAGAGCACACAGCTTGAAGTGACTGGCTAGTAATCAATTCCTGCTGTGGGCATTTTTGTCCTGACCATACGATATGTGAAGAAAAATGAGAAGCATGCATAAAGAAATCAGCACAGCTTCTTAAGTGGAAAACCAGAAAGTTCACTCAAAGATAAACAGCACAGTCAGCATGACATGAAATCCCACTGTTTTAATATAATATCTACTTTAAATGTATCAACCTTTCAAAACAATTAAGAGTGTGGGAATAATCATTTTCCCTTTCACTGTAGTGCTTTTTGTGTGTACTTTGAAAATGATTCTTATCTGGTTTGCTTCTACAGCTCCAACTTAAAGGTCATCATGTTCGATCAAGATATCATCTCGTGACAGCTTTGTTGGTATTCTCAGCAGTGCTTGGGAACAGTGGCTGATCTTTCATCACAAACTGTAAAGGCGGTGGTGCGTGTACATAATCCAGAAATAATGGATATTCCTTTTGAATTTTAATTTAGAACTAATTAGCTGTTTTGTTTTGGTTTGTTTTTTCATGTTTGTATTTAGAATGCAAGGATTGGCTTTGGCCTTTGGAATAGATTTTGTCACTGAGTTTCAGGAAGTGAAAGACCTCTCTAAACCTCAGAAAAAGAGGGCGCATGAGCACAACCACTGCAAAAAACGAAATTGTGATTGTAAAATTCAGTGGCATAGAGAATGACAATAGGCTGGAATATCTCCAGAATGCTAAAAAGCCCTCTGACAGTTGTGGAGATGAGAAGGCGATGAGATTCATCCCACAGAAATCAAATATAAAAATACTGAAACGTTAGGGATGTGGAAACAAATCACCCTGAGAGGGGAGGAAGGCAGCACTCGTTGTTCTGGGTGGCTGTTCCACTGGCTGACCTGTGGCATGCACTTTGCAGTACTTCAGAAAGACATTGGCATGGGGTCATCTGTTGAAATATTAACAGAATTTGTCAGCAGTGTTTCCAGTAGTGAAACTTGGCTTTTTTTCGTTCCTTTCATTCACTTGTGGCAGCATTATCTCTGCTTATAGCCAGTTCTTTCCTTCCTGTAGCAACAGCGCTGTGTCTGCAGGAAGAAGCAGGGCTGGGAAGGTGGAGACGACGGTGTCCATGGGCGTACTGCATTTCTCTTAGCTTCAAAGAGGCAAAGTGGGGAGTAAATCCTTCACAGCACTGAAACAGTTATCAAAGTAATCCTATGGAGAGTCTGCCATCGTTACAGATCCCCTTTGGTCCTAACCTTTGAAGAATAGATGGAGGTGCTGAGTAGAGACTGAAAATCTTGATTCAGTTCCCAGTGCCACCAAAGGCTCTGTGATTTATGGGGCAAAAAATCTCAGCCTCTCTCGATTCAGTTCCCCATGCACAACCACACAGAACTCTTTGGTGTAGGAGTGACCTCCTGAGATGTTATTTGTTTATCTCACTGCCCCTTGATTGAGTCCCTAGACGACAGCAGTGTGAAATGAGCTGACCGGCTCTTTTCTCAGGCAGCTTGCTCCCAAACAGCACAAACACTGTGCTGAGTGTCCTTGCTCTCAAGTCGTTTTGAACATTTTACTTTTTATCAAAGGATGTTTTTTCTTTGAGATGAAGCCATCTGCTCAATATTTAATAGTATTTTATAATCCCCTGTTTTCTCCCTAGAAAAAGCCCTTAATATGAGTCATAATACAAACATAATTTGTAAATGAAATGTAGGCCTGGATCAATACCCTTCTCCTTGCTGCAGGGTAGCATAATCACTGAAAGATGTTCTAATTGTTATGAGGACAGGGAATTGTTTCATTTATGTAAGTGAAATGTGTTGTTAAGTTGTCTGATGATGGGAGTTGACTCTGAGGTTTCTGTACTTGTGGCAAAATGTCAATATTCCTAAAGCATCTTGCAGTCAGCAGTTTCAGAGAACAGGTTATTTGCAAAATAGCCTCCCCATTATAATCCAGTGACACACGGATCTGCTCCCTAGGTTCCAGCACTGGCCTTTCCAAATCCAAAGTTAAATGGATTCTGCTCCAAGAGCTGAATTGTCACTGAAACTGCTGTGCTTCAGACAGATTTGCTGTTACTGAGAAAATAGGGCTCCTATATCTTTCTACTGAATAATTTCTCAGGGACATGTCTTCAGTGCATGGTAGTACAGGAATATTGCAGTGTTGTAACTTTTGGATAAGCTAATAGACGTGCAATCTTAGTTAGTGGAAACCTAGATGCTCACAAACTTACTTGGGCAGAACAGTAATTTGCTGTAAAAACAGCCCCCAAAATTCAATAGGAGAGTGTATGCAGGTATTGTTTAGTACATGTAAATGTATTCAAACTTCATTAGCTAATACCAGTGATTAGCAAAGTTACTTCTTGATTTCTACTACAGCAAAGTTACTTCTTGATTTCTACTACAGAAAAACTTAAGCTCTGTTCTGGTGGGCACTAGGATTTTTCTCTGTGTAATAAATGAAAATTACATTTAAGCATACACTCTTACCCCATCATCGTGAAGTCCTGCATGTTCAAGGGATGCTATTCACAATCACTGAATTCTCCAAGTACTCATACTTGCAGTGAGCCCCTCGGTACGTACAGAGCCCCACTTGTCCTCTTTGTGAACTGTTGGTCAATTTTTGCCTTGGATCATTTCTGATAGGCAAGAAAACCAAGTAGCTATGTTCCATAGGAAAACCACATTTACTTAGACTGTGCTTCCCAGTTCCCATTTCCCCCAGCACAGTGGAGATCATGTGTTCTTATGCTCTCACCAGCTTACTTTTGGTCTTCCATAATTGCTTTTTCAGGGGCAGTGACAAGCACTTACCTCAGCAGGTGAAGATTACCCTTTCCTCTGTTGTTTCCCTTACACTCAACACAGGAGCTGCTAACCTGAGTTGCTTCCCTATAGCATCACCATTATACTGCACAACAAAGATGTCATGTTAAAACGTTATCACAAGAACCATCCTTGCCATATTCGGCCTGGTCTCTGGTAGCAAAGAGGCTTTTCAACACGTATCTGCAAATCGTCTCCAGCAGGACCTCTCCCTGACCTGTGACAAGCAAGTGTGCATCTTTCCTATTGCATACTGAGACTTGCAGTTGCCTGGGGTGTGATGCTTTGGGGTCACCTCGGCTTATCGAGGTCACTCCCCTGGCATTTTGCTTTCTGATAAGCAAGGTCACAGCCTTGGACAGTAGCCCTGCAATTTGTACTTGTGCTGCGTGGACTCAGACCTGTGTGCGTACTCAGCTCTCACCCAGATAAAATAGCCTGTGATGAATTCCACTGTAAGAGCAGTAAAAAGAAGCTGTGTGAACAGGGTTTGGAGGAGCAGGGGAAGTACATCTAGAGAGCACTTGAAACAGCCTGTTAAGAAATTGCAGTGTAATGCACAGCTCCTTGTCCTCATCCACAAAGAGAACCCTGCAGGCAAAAGGCACCTAAGCAGGTCAGGTGCCAAAGGCTGCTCTGCTCTCTGTATTCAATTAGCCAGATGCAGCAAAATAATGGACTCTATTCATTGAGTGCAAGTCTCATTGCTTGTTTGACTTGATGTGATAGAATCACCATAGATAAAGGCGCAAATAGTACCTCATTGTACCAAAACCTCAAAATAATATGCTACTAATGAAGGCAATGTTAGTCATATAAACATTCTATAAACCCACTGAAGCAGTGATGGAGCACCTGGTGGGAAGGCAGAGCCAGCCCAGGGGTGCTCAGGTGCATGCAATGCAATGCACTGAGTGATGGAAGGGTGGAACCAGGATCCCCCTCTTCCCAGCCCTCATTTAAGGGCTGGCAGTGAAGGCAAGAGGATATCACTGGAAATCCCTGTGTACCTGAAGCTTTCTGAAGGTAAGCAGCTTCTTTCCTTTATTTCTGTGCCCACAGCTGTTGCATTGTTGCATTTAAGCAAACCTTCACTTGCTGCAGTCTAGGACCTTGCTGGCCTGCTGTCATTGCTGTGCTTCCCATTGTGTTACAGTAGATTTTACTTATTCACTAGGTCACACTCACACTTGTTTGAACTGTCTCTTACTTGGAACTAGATGATCTTTAAGGTCCCTTCCAACTGAAGCTGTTTTATGATTCTGTTTCCTGGGATTTAGTTCCTCTGCCATAACCTCAGAGACAAGCTGTATGGGTATAGTCCTGTACTAGTTCTCATTCAGAAAAAGCAGAGCAATTCAGGATTTTTGCAGCCCAGTAAGTTGAAGCAGTGGTAGTTCTCACCACCCAGCACTTGCCTGACTTGCGTAAATGTAAACGGAGGAATTTCACCAACTACTGCATAGCAAATGTTATTGTGATTTATTTATTTTTTTTTTTTCTTCCAAAATACTTGTACAAGAGAATCAAAAATATTTTGTAGGGAAAAGTAGGGAAGCTTAGGATGCAGCATGAACAAGAAGTTGGCACCGTGCTCTGTCTGAGACCTGACCCAAGGAAGCTGTTGTAGGTAAAGGTGCTTTATCGTGTTACTCAATGTTTTTGTTAGGAATGAGGATTATCATGTTACTTTCAGATAGAGAACTACATCAACTATGTCTGGCTGCCATCATTTTTGCCTTCTAAGAGAAGCGATCAAGTTTTGTCTAACCTGTAGGGGTGGAAAGAAACAACATTATTTAACACCTCAACATATCAATTTCCTGTTTAGTTTGATGGGCTGACTATGATTTACAGGGTTTCATTATGAGACTCAATTAAATATAGAATTTGTAATATTCATGCAATTTCTATGCCAAATATACACAGTGCTGATACAGCAGGGATCTCAAAATATCAACCACCTGCTTGGGAGGAACAGAATTACGAATGCATCTCCTTAAACAATAATTCATCATACTCAAAGTCTAAAGTTAAGCTACTCCAGAGCCAACACAGCTGCTTTATCTTATCAAAGGGGTACTGCTGACTTACAGTGCCTGTTATCATTCTTGTGACTCTTGACTAAGAATGCAGTCAAGGATTTGGAGGCCTGGGAAGCAGCGCTGAGTGTGGCATGAAGGATCCTGGCCTCTGGATGGAAACCCAGAATTGTGAACTGCGTGTCCACACTGCTCATGCAATGCACCAGGAAACCAAATCAGTCAGGTTAGGGAACTTTAGGGAAAACCTTTGCGTACCTCACTGAGAGCTGCAGGGAAATAACCCGTCCCTCTCGTCAAGGATCTTCTTCCTCAAACCCCTCCACTAAATAAAGAAGGTTATAGGAGAGAGACTTCCCTAAGTGAGCTGAGATGCAGTACCAGCTCACAGGTCACAATGCACCTTTTTCCCTTGGGAGGGATGCTCTACTCAGAAGAATGAAGCTAACTTTAATCCTCATGACTTGGTTATAAGAGGACTTTGATCTGACAAGATGTAGATTTGCAGTTGTTATTTTTCCAGACAGACTACAGGTAAGACATGCTGGAAGCTTAGAGGGCCTCCTTACAGTGTGGGGATATATGCTCATAGCAAAAATGAGATTTTTGAATGTGAGTGGGGTTTGGAGGCTGCAGTAGCACTACAATATCATAGTGGCTTTAAGCCCATTTTCGCTGCAAGGAGGCAGAATCCTGCTGTGCTTTCAGACAGGTGTTAGTCTAATTGGTCCTTTAGAACTTATATTTTACATCTTCCCTTAGCGGCCAGGTTCACTGATTAAGTATTCTTCATTAGGAAGCTTTTCCAGTCTCTAATTTAAACCTTTACTTCGTGTGGAGCCAGGCACTTTCCTTCCCCCTTTGGTGACCAGCACAGTATTTCAAAAGTACCTTGTCCACAAACGTTTTGAGAGTTAGGACTCTGCTACCACATCATTTTGAAGCTCCACGCATTCTCCACTTCCTAATTCCTTATAAAAATGAAAAATGTTTTCCTTCTTTATAATGCCTGCTGCTCTCCTGGAGTTAGGGATGCCTCAGTCCTTCCTGTCCTTTTCTCACTGACTCAAATCATTTCAGGATGGCTCTGTGAAGTGGCCGTTGGAAGCTCTCAGTCAGCAGTGGGGCTGTTGTGGCGTTAATGAATCTTGCTAAACAATTTAGACATCCTACGATAAAAACCACCAGAGGAATTTCCACCAGCCAGAGTACAAGCAATTCTACCACTGCAAATATAAGCTGGTGAGAAATATCAATATGATCAGTAGTATCCTTGCTTTAAGACATCAGCTATTTATCTCTGGCAGGTTTGCCTTATTGCTTTTTCCAAGACTGTCTGCTGGGAACACATTCCTGACCCAGAGCTCTTCCAGCCATGGGGTGGATGTGTTGGTGCAGCTCAGAAGGACGTGGGCGCCTCTGCCAGCTCACATCTAGACACCACATAGAGCCAAATAGCTCAGGAGTGTTTGTATTACAGAAAACACACACTTCTGAGAAGGCTGTGACCGCCCTCTTATCATGAGGAAATAAACCTTAGGGCTTTAACAAATCAGGGCAAGGAAGAGTGTTTTCATCTGAACTAATATTGCCTGAAGCATAAAAATAAACGTAGGGCTGTTTTCAGACATAACAGGCTCAGGATAGTGTAAAAACACAGCAAGAAGACTTAAGAATTTGAGATTACAAGCCGGTTTGCTTATCTCATCCAAAAACATCTTATAATCAGCATTTTCATCTCATCAACCATCTCTTCTTACCTTTTGTTCCCAAACAGTGCTGCAGGCTTGGTTCTGGGATGGCTCTTCAGCATCAGCAATGTCTGCCTTCCCCATTTGACAGAAGCTCCATTTCAGTGATGCAGAAAATTAATAGGGGCACTATATTTCCTTTGTATCCAGACCTAAATACTGTTTCTATGGCTGCAAACATAGTAAGTCTTGAATGAATGGAACAAAGTCAAACTCCTTCCTCATGATTTCTGAAGCTGATAGCAAAATCAGCCATGAAGGAGCATAGACAGAAAAGCTGCTTCATTCTAACCTTATTGGGAAAAACTTCTTTGCACCAATTAGAGAGATTACAGTGCTCAGAGTGATGCAGAAAACTAAATAACCGGGCAGATACACTAACCGGATGTCACTTAATCAGACAAGAGGAAGCAGTACCCAACAGCGAGCGGAAAACTCTCCGTGGGACGAGCATCACCTCACATATTAATTTCCTATTTCTGTATTCACATCTTTTGTGGCCTCTCCAGCCTCTGCCCATGAGCAGCTCTGGCATGCACGAGTCCCTCCCGTGCTGGGTGAAAGGAGCTCTCGGTGCGTGGCCATGTGTGCCCAGGATGCTGCAGTCGTGCATGGGCTCAGCATGCTGCAGCACAGTAGTGAAATAGTCACACGTCAGGAGGAAGAATGTGGGTTCTTGTTTTCAGCTTTGCTCATTGCAAATCTCTGCAGGGCATGTCATGGGAAAACCGACACGTCACTGAAGGCCCAGAAAGAAAGAATGCCAGAAAAGAGGTGAAAAACAGAAAAGCCTGAGCATCAACTCTGCTCAGGTGTAAGGCTTTGGAATAATAGCTGTGCTAAGGTTTATAGAAGTCATTAAAAACCCTTTGTGATACTTGAACTGTGCTACTGAAAAATAGCTGTTTCCACCCAGAGCTAATAAATGGATGTTTGAAGCGCAAGCTGAGCTAATGTGAATTCATGCTCAACTGTGCGTGTCATGTTTGGATGTAAACACCCTTTTCACATTGTACCATACCACCCCAGTGCTGCTGTGCTTTTCATGTATCTCCGTGGTATTTACATCTCAGCTATCATTTGATAGCTTAAAATGCCTGTACTAAAATCCACTGCCTTTCAATTGGGCTGAAGATGTCAAAGTATATCTATGTATATGTAGTCCCAGTTAAAGTTTTATGATTGAACCAACTTGCTCTGAAATTGCAGCTTTTTTTCCCCAAAAAAAGCTAGAAAAGTTTTTTTTCCTGCCTTGTATTGTAGGTAATATTTGAAGAAACAAAGAAGGAAAAAATGCCAGACCCAAGCCTTGCTCACCTGGGGATCCTGCGTGGGATGTAATCCAGCCCTGCTTCGGGACACAACCTTCTGCATTGCAACCAGCACCAGGTAAGGCACGAAAGCAAAACACATCCCTGCTTAGAAGTCCACCATGGAGACTTTTCTGTTCAGTGTCAAATGTGTACTGAATTCTCCTACATTGTTTTACTCGTTGCTTTGTCCTTGTCTGCCCAAAGATGAGGGAACATATCTCAGCCTGTTTCAAACACAGCAGCTGCAGTGATTTCAATAGAGTGATAAGTATTTATTCCAGCAGGAAGCCTTACCCCAAATCTTCCCTAACTGTAAGGTCATGCTTTCTGCTAAACAGGATCTTCCATGTGGCATTATGTTAAAGCATGCAGTGTGTTTTCAGCAAACACACACAATTCAGTGATTCATTTCACTGGTGACAGGGCGAGGGGAAATGGCCGCAAGTTGCACCAGAGTAGGTTTAGGTTGGATATCTGGAAAAACTGCTTTACAGAAAGGTTGTTAAGCAGTGGAATGGGCACCCGAGGGAGGTGGTTGAGTCACCATCCCTGAAGGTGTTTAACAACAGTTTGGATGTGGTGCTCAGGGACATAGCAGAGGGTTGTTAGAGGTAGGGCAGTATGGTCAGATTGTGGTTGGACTCGATGAACTTTAAGGTCTTTTCCAACCTGAGTGATTCTATGACTCTATGAACAGCCCCATGGTGACAGGGATGACCACAATCCCCTAAACCTGTAGAGACAGATAAAGACAAATATTTTTACTGTGTCTTTATAATCATGTTATTATATCTTTTTAAACATTGCATATAGCCGGATGCCATGCTATGGTAACAGAGGAACAAGAGAAGTAGCGTTCTTAATACTTGAAAAAAATACAAGGTTTTTCATAGGGGTGAAAGCTTTCTGTCTAGCAGAATTCTTATTGAACTTGCTCCCATCACATTACCTGTTCACGTGCTCCCCACCATGCCCTGCCCAGCAATGGGCCTCCTCCCTGCTTTGTGCAAAGGTAGATTAAGCAGGAGGGTAAGAAAACAGAGGGGAAAAAAAATGCATTTCTTTGCAGTAAACACAGCCTGCAGCCATCGGTTTCTCTCAGCATTAGATGGCAATTATTTCTGTGTAATAAGCAGTCACCCGATGACCCTCCCCTTCAGCGTGCAACGCTTCTGCTGTCAAGTGTTAATCCCTTTGTTAGCTACTCAGCTGCACATTCATTTAGGAGGGCTAATGACTTACACTGTTCCTTCTCTGCATGATTTCAGCAGACGTGTAATTAGAGGTGAATGGCAGCTTCAGAGGTACGGCTACCACTGGGGCCGGGGGCAAAGTCAAAGTGTTTGTCTGATTTCACCACGGGCTGTTCCAGTGAGTGAAACCATGTGGGCGGCTGGAAAGGGGGGGGGGAAGGAAGTAGGAAAGGAGAAGCCTAAAAAAAAAAAAAGGATAAGAGTCATTGTTGGGCATTTGGGGAGCTCGGATGTGAAAAACGAACGTGTTTCCAAATATTTTTTTGTTGGGGTGTCAGACTGTGAGATAAATGCCAGCCTGTTGTATTTTGAAGGTGAGCTGAGGAACTGCTCATGCGCCTCAATGGTGCCTTACAGACTACAGCCTCTTTTTTTTATCTAAATGAAAGCCATCAGTGTCTGCAACACCTCAAGAAATATCCCGCAGCTCTTCCACCATGGGAAGATGTCCTTCTGAAGTCCAAGTGAATCCTTGTGTATGTTAACATCACAGGATGGAGTAGAAAAGTAGAACAGGGAGCTGAGGTCCTGACGGATCTGAGATAACAAAAAAAATCCACCAAGAACCCCAAACCTCTTAGCTCTGATTTGTATGCATAGACAAAGCACAGTCTGGCTGAGCTGCAGCATTGCTCCCTGTCCTTGCAGCCATTGGGGCTGAGCTGGATCCCAGCAACGTGCAGTAGCTGCTGCTTGTGGTGCTGTAGAGTAGCATCCCCAAGGCAATGGGCTACTGCTCCTTCCCAGCAGAAGCACAGCATCTCACACCTCCTATGGCTGCATATTCTTTCCTGCTTTCCCTTTTTTTCCTTTTTTTTTTTTGCTCAGCCCTGGTTCCTCCCAGCAGTGTGCCTGCAGCCAAGGGCTCCCTTCTCTTGTCTGTTCTGGAGTGCAGTGTCTCTTGCCTTCACACCCCTTGTGCAGACACACAGCAATGGCTGATACCACAATTGTGTTAAAGAACACCAACTTCCATTCTCTTGGTTGGTTAGGAGATAAGCAGAGTGCTAGTTTTATGAATTAAGATAACACACCTGCACCAGTGCTTTGAATTCAGGGGCGTAATTTCATTAAAAATGACAAAACAGAATAAATCAATAACTAATTAAAAATGGCTTTAATTCAAGCCGGGCTTATGATCTAATATCTCATACAGCTGTCTAATACAATTATAAACACAATTTCATGGTTAATGAAATATAAATGAAGCACAAAGAATGGCAAGCTCCAAAGAAACTTCTCCATCAGTTGCCTTTGCAGCCCCTCCACCCTGCCTGCATCTCTGTCCCATCTGTTAGAAGTAGATCCAATGGTGAACAGCCATCACAGTACAAACTGGAGTCTCACCACTCATACAAAGCCTTATTATTTCTCTGCTCTTTCTTTCCCCTTGAAGCACTGAAGAGCAACTCGAGCAGCCTCAGAGGAGATGACACACATTGGGCTTCCATGTCCACATCCATGCAGACGTGTTGCCATCGTTGCCGGGCAGTCAGCAGGGACAGGACGTGGTGTGGCTGACAGCCTTGGGATGAGGATATTCAATTCTGAGTGACCTGTGATCTGCTGGTAAGCAAACACAGTAAATGAACATTTCTGGCACTTCTTTATTTCATCATCTTTTTCATTAATAGTGCTATTCTCTTTTTGAGTTATGACAGTGATTGCTCTCCATCTGCCTAGCTGTCTAGCAGTGGGTTTGGTCTCCTTTTGAAAAAGACTTGTGTGCAATTACACACCTCACAGCTATGTACAGGTAGACCCAGGTGAAACACTGGCACCGTTTCCCACTATTTTCTCATGTATGTATTCCAAGAGCATCAGTGGTGCCCATCCTCACTGCATGCCTCAGCGTGGGAGGGAGAGGGTGAATCAACCCCATTTGATTTGAGCTGTAATGATCGTCACGAGAAAACAAACCCACTAAAGGAAGCGAAGCTGTACAGTGAGTGAACATATATTGTTCTGTTGTGGTTTGGATATAATTGGATTGAAGTTCGTTGGAAACTTAGCCCAGACTCAGTGAAAGGTTCACACAGCCTCAGACCAGCAGCTTTGCGTGGCTCAGGTTTAATTATGAATGGTTCGCTCAGCCTCGGTAATGACTCATATTCACTAACTATCCCTTCTATGAGATGTGACAAAAGTGTATTTCAGAGATGTGAAGCATAATTATTTAATGATGAAGTAAAGTTGATTAGGAAGCCTTTAAGCTATTAGGCTCTTGGTAGGATATTTTGCAGTCAGTGAATAAATGAACATAATTTAATTCTTAAAAGCTCTACAGCTCCTGCTGGCTCTGAAAATGATATGCAGCTAACAAGTTAGGGTTTTTCCCATTATAGAATTCTATATGCTACAACAAAGAGCATACAGAATTCAATGCAGTGCAGGGGAAAACTATTCTTAGTGACTATGCAGGCTAAAAATGATAGAACTTACATATCCAGTAACAATCGTGAACCTGACAAATCAAGCTTGTAAGCCTGTGGTGTGATCCGAAAACCTAACAAGTTTCCAAGAAAGATCTCTGGTTTGAAAATACTTTCTGGATTCTCTGTTTTTTTTTCTTTTCTTTTTTAATTCTTCATGAGATGTGCAAGACAGAACAGCATGAGACCAGCAGGCAAATGGCTGTGCCGTAGAAAGAGTATATTTATATATGATGTAGCTGTGTTCCAATTATGAAATTGATCCCTGCATAGAAATCCCTTAAGGGTGGCTATTAATGAGATTGCCCGCTCTGTGTGCATCCAGTAACAAGATTAGGTATGCATTTATCCTGAGCAGAGATAAACCAGCAACAAGTTTGTGCCAAGATAAGACAGTTCTGAAAGGCAATTAAACATGGGACATAATGTGCGTGCACGTGTCTGTGAGAGGTTGTGGGATGGAAAGGCTGTTTTCATCTGCAGAAGTGCTTCTGAGCGTAACAGGTAGGGAAGCAGGCTTTTCACAGCGGTGAGATTAAATCTGAGCTTAAATAGCCAAATATTTGAATTTAGAATGCACTAGTCAGTTTTATGAAATGTGCAGATTGGCCTTTTTGGCTTCTCTTTTAATGAGAGAAGATTTTGTCAGATCCAATGCCTCAAACGTATCGGCACTTCAGTCTGAAAATCAGGCTATGAAGTTCTGTAGGAAATTCCTTTTCTCCTTTTTTTAAAAGATGAGAACTTCATTTTCAACTGCAGTGCCAAATGTGCAACTTCCTTACATTATTTTAAAAACGTGGATATTTGACCCTTTGCCTATGGTTTGCTTGAGGTGAAGGAACAGGCTTTGCCCATGCATTCACTGATGGCAAGGCTGTAGGGTTTCAAAATACCCACAAAATCAGTATTCTGTCCACTACATGGTGAGTGTGTAAGCTGTATGTAGGAAACGTGACTGGGAACTGTAGAATGTTGTTGCATAATTTTAAGAGCCTTCTGGTTGCCAAAAACATATGGTCTCTATTAATAAGGGTATTTAGCATTTTTCTTCCTAATTTATTCACAGGTAATTATTTGCTTACCTAGCTCAAACTGGGCCAGAATCCAGCTCTTATCTGTCGTGGAAAGCTGTCACATTTCCCTCTGCCTTTCGCCAGCCCTCACTTGAGAGCAGCTATGCATCTGGCCAAGCAAAGCTGCTCTGTTCCTTCTCACTTATAGTAACAGAGTCTTGCCTGGCCATTAAAAACTTTAGTTTCTACAAGTATTGTGAAAAGTACTTTTCAGAGTGCTGCGGCACTCAGTAATTCATAAGAACTAACAGATTCAGCTGCTTCTCCTGTTGGCTGCCCGCTCCCTGCCGGGACAGCTGGCTCTTTCCAGGTCTGTTTCCATGTCACTGCAGTGCTCAGCAGTGCCAGAACATCATCTAACCAACACTTCAAAGACTCCGTTTTGTCTCACCTCTTGTGGTGCTGCATTCAAAAGTTAAAGAAAATATAAAGAAAAAAACCACTTCCCTAAAAATTCTCATCAAAGATTTACTGATCAGACTCCAGAGTCCAGGCTCTGTCTGCAAACTCTGATGCTTTTCTTTCTATATGTATCCTTCTTTTACTGCCCCCCCTCCAATAATCAGAATCCCAAAGTGTGCTCTTTCTGATGAGGATTAAGCCATGACCTGCACGTGATTGCAGGAAATAAGCCTTTAAAATATGCCCAAATGCGCTGCTTGTTTGAAGTCACTGATCCTTAAAATAGATGTCTGAAAAAATGTGTAATTTCAAATGCTTCTGCAGATATTGTTCCAGTATGTGTAACAAGGGGTCACATCAAGCCAAGTTACATCAGTTGTGCTCTGTTGTATCACGAACTGAGCCAAATGAATCAAAATATACAGTAATACTTCAACTGATAATGAAAGCTTTATACAGTTTCTTTCCCTAGATACTTCTTAGGAAGCATTAAGATATTCAGCATGATTTGAGGGGGTGGTTATTTTAGCTATTTGCCAAAAAATCTTTTTGCTGTGCAGAGTATTTTAATGTCACTGATGCTCGTCCTGCTGGGCTGTCCAATCTCCTCAGCCACTGCGTGGTCTGATGGCACAGCTTACCTTGGATGGGCCATTTCTTCCTCCCTGCTCCCCCCTTGTCTGTCTGCTCTCCATCATTTCTTGTTCAGTGGTAGCCTTCTTCAGAAGAGCGGTCACAGCGGGGTTGTGAGCTGGTCCACCACTGATGAATTCAACTTAAATTAGGAGTTCCTGTTGTCTTGTTTTTTGGCACCTTCTGCTTTGTTCCTAGCCTGGGGCATCTGAGCTTCAGATGCTTTTGCAAGAAAGATGTGCAGTTGACTCTAAGCTCCGTTTCTCGAGTAGGTCTAACTATCATGACTGAGTAGACCAAGAAGAGGCTGAACCAGCACAGATACACAGGGCAGAGTGGCTCAGTCATAAGAGGTTCTGAGAAGCTCCAGAAACTTGGGAGAATGCAGAGACACTTATCATGAAAACAATTTCCACTTGTGACCTTTTTGCTCAGAAATGGTGATAACATACTTGATTTTTTTTTTTTTCTTTTTTCAGTGACCTTATGAGATGTTGGTTATGACGTGCTATCATTGAAACCTCTGCAAGAAGCTGATGCTTCAGGAATCCTAAGGTACTCCCTGTCATTTATAGTTCCTGTTCCACTTGCTGGTGAAGCTTTTTCACTGTCATTTAATGTATTGAGTACACGGATAGTAGTAGAACAGTACTGTTCCCTCCTCATTAGTCTCTCAAGGCAAAACATAATTTGGTCCTACTTCATATTAATTTAATCTTAACAAAATCAAGACAGGTTCAGAAGTTCCACCTTTACTGAGGTTCTCAGCTCTGTTATGCCTGTGTGCATACAAACCCCATGAGAAAAACAGTTCAGGCTTTTCCACAGCAATGATTAAAGAAAAATCACAAATGCAATGGAATTCAAAGCAATGGGCAAAGGCCCAGCCTTCGCTGGGTCAGTGTGCACAAAATGGAAGGGCTCGTTACTATAGATGGGAGAGGAGCAGAGCTATGCCACAGATGGGCTTGTATTTGATATCATCTACTGACAGTGACGGGTCACAGCCTCACCACAGCTGAAGTCTGTTGAGGGCCACCTCAGAGCCTCCCAGCAGCAGTTCAAATGCTGCATGGTACTTATTTGCATGCAATTTGAATCCACCCTAATAGCGTGCATTGCTGACAGATAGAAGGAAAGGATTCACTGCCCGCACTGAGCCAGCACCGACAAGCCGGGAGGTGAAAACTCAAGAGCTCCACTGAAGACAGCTAAAGCCCCCATTGCTGCACACTGTGGTTCATGCACAGTCACAGAGAAATAAATCTTGGTTAAATTTTTGATGAGCTTTCAGCTGCTGTAAATAATTAACTAGGGTCTCTCTCGTTTGAACACGTGTGCAACTTTTCATGTTTCAAACGCTTCCTGCCTCGATCCCCAGGGGATCGCTCAACTTATTCAGGTCACTTCTTTTATTTATTTATTTGCAGCATCACCAGTCGAAACAAATTTTGAACTTGCAAGCTGGGAAGGGAGAAAGCAGTTTCCTTTCGATCTTACTCCAGGTAAATCTCCAGGGGAGCACGTGTCTCGTTTGCAGTAGTTGAATAATAGAGATTGATAGGTTAATCAGTTCCAGTACATTTATGGAGTAATACTGTGTGCTCATAGCTGAAGTTTTTATGTTTCTCAAGTCCATGTTGTTTCAAAGATGATAGTGCACGATAACACAGGACAGCTTCTTAAAGAGGGATGCATTAATGAGGACACCCCTGTGTCCCCCCAGCTAAAGCACAGCCTGCTGATCCTGCTTTTGATGTGCTGAAGTATGACAGCACAAGGACTGAAGTCAGTCCTGCATCACCACCAGGTAGCAGCATGGAAAATAAGGTCTTAAGAACAATCATTCTGTCCCTTCATTAGGTATCAAAAAGAGCTTAGATGTCATTTTAGGTGGAAACTAGGCTATCTTGTGCATGTATGAAGTGGGCGTAAAATGTATTAAATACTGGATTCAGGCTCCTAATTAGGGGCTTTGATGTCCTATGATAAGACTTTAATGTGAAAATTGGACTACTGAAACAGCTCCTTCCTAATGACTCCATCCTGCTGCCATCCAGCTTGGTTGTTCTCTATCTGCACACAACAGGTCACTCACCACTGCTGTGGTTGGAGGCTGAGCACTGTCATACTTCCTATTTCAATGCCTATGGAGCATGATTTATTACAATGACAGGCCATACTGCTGTTTGCAATGCAGGCCTAGTTCATTCTCAGTTTTTAATACAGTTCCTCACATAATCTCCAGCACTTGAGGAAATATATTTATTATGTGCATATTACAGAATAATTTAAAATCAGCTTTTGGGTCAATCTTTTTAATTACCTATTTTATCAGCTCTTTTTGACTAGCAGTTTAAATAATTGTGTTCGCCTAATATCTGGAAATGTAATTGCTTTTAGACATCCTTTATTCCACTCCTGTTGTCATTTCTGCAAACTGCTCATGTTGGCACCTGTCTGTGCAGTGACAGATTTGTGATGACAGCTTGCATAACTTATTTATAAAATGATGGATTATTTTGGAATTTAACTTCAAGTTCACAGACTGGAAAAGTGGAGAAACACCTGCTTCTTGCAGAGGACCTGGTAAGGAAGTCCAAAGGAAACTACGCATATATGGGAAGCACATGCAAAGTGAAACAGAACCTTGTGGGTCATTGTTATGCTGGTCCATGCTTCAGCAAGCACTCCATGGATGCAATCCTAAGTTAAAAGTCTCAGTTGTTGGGGCTACAGAGTGTGAGGAAAGTTCCAAAGACTGTAGTCCATTGGACTCTTGTTTTACTGAACAGTGGGGATAAGTGGTCTCCTCCCAGGGTCAGATCACAACAGGAGCCAAGGGGAAGTGAAGGGAGAAAGGGGACCTTTATTTCTCAAAATACATTCCAATTGCACAACTGATTAAAAACATACTCTAAAAGGGAGGGTAATGCTAAAGAGATACTAACAGCTGGGAAATGAACAAACTGACAGTTTGTGTCACACAGGTTAGGGTTCCTGTTTCTTACTGAATGTTTTCAATAAATCACAGGCAGGGAGCAAGGATGCTGGACCATTGTAATTCAAAAGAGGAAAGACACAGGCAGTCCTATTGTCAGAGCCTTCATTCAAGTCCATTGAAGGACTGGAAGCATGACCAAAGACAAAAGGTAAGAAGGATGGGAGGGAAGGGGAAGGAGGGAGGAAAGGAAGGAAAGGGGAAAGGAGAAAGGGAAGGACCCGACTAAGTACCTCCCAAAGGACCAGAATGGTATGCCTTTGTGTTCAGGATTTCAAGGATTACCTGCCTCACTCCTCACCAGTTGCTGTGAACAAACAATCTACATTCTCAAATGGTTACTTGTCTGCTATCAGACCCTGCTCTACAGTCACGTTTCCCACAACTTTCTTGCAGAGAGTCCTGCACTGACCGTGTTCACCCCTCCCAGTATTTCTTCCACACACTATGGGTTGTTTATCCATACTTGCATGCAAATATCCCATCTCATTTTGTTCTTTTAAAGTGCCGTTTAAATACAGCTTTTCAGGGAAGCAGCCTGTTTCAATTCATCTTAGTTGAAAGTAGGCTATAAATCTCTTTGGTTTATTTTATTGATCTCAGACAAAATTACAAATATAAATTACGGCTGCTGCAAATTAAATGTTCTAAGCAAATGCACCAGTAACACGTGCAGCAAAGGACACAGCAAGAACAGCAGACAACAGCCAGAGCCAGCTCTCTGTGCAAACCCTCAGCCCCCGTGCTCTCCTCCCGCAGGCAGCCTCATCTACCCACCATGACAGCTCCAGGAGAACACTGCACTTCAAGTGGCACTGTGTATTCCATGTGGCCCAAGCTGAAATACAGAAATCTATCAACAGTTTTACTGTCCCAGCAGTTATCCTCATTCTCAGACTCACTATCAATGCTGGCCACAGGGTCACGCTCCACAAGGACAAATATCAGGTGTTGCTGCTTCAGGTAGCACGCGTTTCCTATGAAGGAGCTCCCATTTCACAAGGCAGCGTAATCATCAGTTTTCTACACCGCTGCCACTCAGACCCTTATGCACTAAGGTTTCTGTTTACCAGGTCATAAAATTGCAAGTATAATAGCAGTGACTTTGCTGCACTTGATAAAACCATAAAACATTTCATTTCGCTGCCTACTGAGCTTTAAAAAAAAAAAATGACATTGGAAAGGAGACAACATTCTTGTTACCATCAAAGTATTTCAAAATATCTACTTTTCTGCTTGTGATCTGTGGACGTGTGTTTTTCCTTCTCTCCGCTTTTGCAACTATTTTTAGACATGGGCTGCAAAATCCAGAAAAAAAGAGATTACTTTTATTCTTGCTTAAGTTTTGTATGATCACAAAGCCTCTGAATACGTATATATCTGTACGTAGTAGAAGTATTCACATGCCTACCAATTCTACAAAATAGGAAGCCTGGTAAGTAGACAAACTCTGCATTTAATCCGTGCTCAAAAAAAGCCCAAACAAACAAAAAACAACCACAGGACACACTGAAAATGCCATGACTGTCTCTCTGGCTCATGGAACTGATTTGCTCCTAAGCCAGATTCAGATGGACCTAACAGACCCTCCCAGCTTGCAAGCTGCCCATAGATGGCCCTTCTGTGCTCACAGCAGGCAGAACGCCTCGACTTTGTCTGCTCTCATCATCTAAGCCAAGAAATAAGAAAAAGTAGTAAGATTCAGGAACAATTTCTTCCCTGATAATAAGTCAAGCTGCAGTTAAAGGGAGACCTCCAGAGATAACTGGTACCCATGGCATCTCTGTGCTTTTTGAAGTCAGATGTTTTCTTGAAAGACAAGCATTCAGTCAGGATCTCCAAATCCTCGCTTTTTTAATGGTGAAATTAATGGGAACCTCACTCTTACTCCCAGTCTGATATCAACAGAGCAGTACGAGCAGGACTCAGCAGCATGGGCACAGGGCTTCTCTGGGTGGGCATGGTTGGCCTCTGCTCTGGGAATCGTGTTCACGTAAACTGCCATCTGACATTCTGCTTTATCCTCCACTGTACATCAGTTTCTGTAATTTTATTCATGATTTACTTTGACCTTTAGCTGTGTTTGATATTTTCTGGTACAAAAGCTTGACACTTAATAAAGGAAATTTCAGGAAAACATCAGCCAGCGAGCTAAATATCTGCACAGGAAAAGCAGATTTCGTAGTGAAGTGAAAAAACAAGAGGATTGCCTTGCTGTCAGCTTAGGAAGACCTCCACAAATTCAAATCATCAAAAGAGGGATCACCTTCTGCCTCGACACCACAGTTTTACACATATTTCTTTTCAAAATACCCAGGTCCTTCATTCAGCTCTTCTGGGTAATCTCACTCTACGAATTTCCCTTTGAGAAGATTTTCCTCCCCACCGTGTGTCAGCCCAAGCTCCATCACAAGAATGCAGTTAGGCATGCAGCAACTGCAGAGAGCACCTTGCACACGTCTGCTGGATGCAACATTTCAACTCCAAGTAGCATCAACATCCAACAGTACAAGCTGGAACTTCAGTGTTAAATGGCAAAGAGGCAGCAATGAGGTTAAATACCTTTCCTGTGCCTACAAGTCACAAGGCTTGAAATGTTTGCTTATTGAACCGTAACTTGGTAGCACGAGGTCTGGGCAATAGCAAACCTGTCCCTCAGCAGACCCAGCCCCTCTTCTGCAGTCATTTGCAGAAAGGAGAAAGCTTTTTGCATTCAAAACTCCCAAGGAGCTTTGTGGGCAAATGAAACATGAAAATCTCTTTGATCATGCTTAAATATTTCAGAGAGGTGATCTGGCTTTGGAAGTTTAATTACCTTAAGCCATGAGAGGACAGAGAACGAGGGCAATGACAAAGAGAAAGAAAAGAAGAAATGAACTTTTTCCAGGACAAAGGGATGTTACTATTTATGAACCTGCAAGAGAATTAGAGCTGAAATACTTAGAAAAAAAAGATGCTTTAATTAATGATGGTAATTCTTATGAAAAGGAGCAGATTGCCAGCTCTGAAAACTGCCAATTCTTTTTATCCACAGTGTATATACAACCTTAGAGAGGCTGTTGCCCCAGTATGGGACATTGCCCTGAGCTGAGAAGTCCAACATCTCAGTGGTCACAAGCTTTGGCTTTCGCTGCAACTGAGCTTTGCAAAGTGAGTAGTTATGCACTACATCGATTCCACGATACAATCAAGTCCTTTGACATGGGCAATTTGTCCCTAATGATTTGAGTCAGCCTATAAAGGTTACCAAGAATCAAATCCTACTGAAGTAAATGTAGAGAACCACAGGTCACATTCAAGGACCAAACCTGAGGAAGTCATGGTAAATGGATTACCAGGTCCTTCTATTAACTAGGGAAAGTCTTTTTAAAAAAAATAAAATAAAATTATAAAGAAAAATGTAACTCCTCCATACACACAATGTAACAATTGATGCCATTCAGATGAAGTCAATTTTGGTTACTTACCTATTATCCTGTTTGAAGAGCATAAAGATCCCAGTCCTGAGGAGCATCATAGCTGTGGGGCCATGTGGCACCAGCTGCAGAATTTGTTCCTGAGTTAGAAGAGAGGGGGAGGGATTGTTTTTTCAGTCGTTAATACTTGCTGGAGTAATGAGGTGTTAGCAGAAGTCTTTCACCATCTCCCTCGACATCCTGTTTCCACCCTCTGCAGCTGGATGGGAACTCCACCTCCCAGAAGCTGCAGGCAGACAGACTGGGGTACAAATACCCTGGTAGAAGGAAATGCAATCTGACTGATCCCTGAAAATGTAATTTCTAGTTCCCAGTGGCTAACAAATGCAGGTAGCTCAAGCTAAAGCAGAGGGTACCACAGCAGCTTTCTTATGGGATGGAAAAGCAATGTTCTTTAGTACCAGGGACTGATATTACATAGATTAAGTCAAATGTATCAACTTCACTTTAACATGAGTGTTTCCATTACCTGGGTCACAGAGTCTTGCAGTCACTCTCCAGAACCCGCTGTTATTAATTCAGCAATTATAGTTTTATGGTGGCAGGGATTCCTCGGTGTTTGAGCTGGCACTGGAAAGCTGTAATTCTGAATGGAACATGACATGAATTACTGGATTGCTGTAATTCTTCAGCTTTTCATGCATTTTCACTGCATATATTAAAATACAGCAAGCAATTCACTTTTAATTATGCAAATTCAAAGACAGTAAGACAAGAGCTGGATAAGTTTTGAAATGTCTGCTCTGCCTGACCACCTGGGGTTAGCACAGAATTCCATGGGCTGATGAGGTCACCCACAGCCCTGCTCACCTGGCTGTACACAACACAACCTCTTTTTAGTATTCAGCAGTATTTCCAGAGCAAAGAAATTGCCAGAGAGAGGGGGAGCTGGGAAAAGGCAGATCCTGTCCACCTGCCTCCCTGACTTCTCTGGGTTTCCAAACAAATGATACATGGCTGTTCTGACATCAACTTCAGACCTCGAGGGCTGCAGATATTTGGCAACTGCAGATAGTATTTGGCAATTATCTTCCCAATATTGAGATGCTACTAATAATGTAACCAGAATATATGAATCGGGGTCATAATTCTACAGCTCTATTCGTGGCTTCTTTGCTGCTCCTTATCAAAGCCCCTGGCTGCAACCAGCTTTTAGACACACGTGTCCATGCACGAGTCTGTGCATTTATTGTAAAGGAGAAAGAAGTTACACCGTTCTCAAAGACACTGTTTTTAAATTGTAAGATTCCGAGTGCAAGTAATGATGGCTTGTTAAAAGTCTAGTGACTGTATCTAATAGCTGCAGTGTTCAGTGCTGTAATTACAGAGGCAAAAGATTGCTGAGAATGTGTAAAAAAAGGAAATAATTGGGGTGGCAGCAATGCAAAAGCTTCTCTGGGCCTAGAGCAACTGTTATTTTGCCCTCCTACTGATGTGCTACTTAACGAAGATACAATGGTTGGAAACGAGCTCTCTTTGATGTGAAGTTTCTGTATTTTCTGTGTAGGAGCCCTGAGGCTTCACCCCCAGTACCTCCACAGCTCAGGACACAGAGGTAACATTACACAAACGCTGATTGCCTTGCGAGAATACATCTGCCTCTTCCTCCCTAGAAGCCTGGGAGAACTTTCAAGCAAGCAAATTAGCAATGCAAAGATCCAGCAACCTCTCCAAGGAGGGAGCACTGCTGTGCTCTGTTCTTCACGTTAATATTTCCAACCCTGGTAGACAATTCCTATTTTCGCTAATCTCTTCATCCTCTTTTCCCCATCTTGTATGTTTCTTTGCTCATCTCTAAAGGTGGTTTCTTGCAGCTTTGTCAGCAGCTATTCTGTCTGCAGGAGTCTTTTGCTGCTTTCCTGTATGCCTATTGCATGACTTAGAAAGAACACCATCTTCCTGAAGCAGAGTGAGTAGATGGAGTGGTTTTCCATCATGCTCCTGGTACTGCTATTACAAGCTTCACTTGGATACAATATCTGCCCTGAAACCCTGGAATTCAGCCTTATCCCCAAGCTTTTTGAACCCCTCTGCTCTGTTCTGGCACATCTATCGATCACATCTTCTCTAGATCTAGCCAGAAGTGAACCTTAAACCTCACCCTAAAGCTCCTGCAGAAACCTTACCCGTTTGTTAGTCACCTGCTTTTCTGGATCACCACAAGTTTTTTTCATAAAATCATGTGAAATTTTACCTCTCACTGAGCAAAGAACAGAATTACCAGCCTTCCCTGTTCACCTGCTTTGCTTTCAGGGAGCCGTGCCTTTCTGGGCAGGGATGCTACTGCATCAGGCACTTACCAACAAGTGTCACCAAGTTCCTTACTTCTACTTCCAAGCCATTGGGAGCACTTCTCTCAGTCTCATCATGAGACAAGTCTGGTTTGACCTGACAAAACATCCAAACTCATCTTCCTCTGAATTCATCAGCAGAAAAGGCTAAGACCCAGGAACTAAACAACTGGGGTTACTCTTCCCGCTGCAGTAGGAAAATTCCCTCTTGCTCGTTGTGAGCATTTGCTTGAACTTCTCTGCTTCCCAGTACACCACAGGAAAAGCAGACACTGTTTGCAACCAGAAGGAAAAGAAGAGCACAAAAGGAGGTGCTGACTGTGAGTGAGGAGCTCCTTCAAAGCACAAAATGAAGCACAAGACTCATGCAGGTTCTTGTGTATCCTGCCATTGTGGAGCAATGGCAGTTATTACTCTTAACGTTAATTCTGCAATACACATCTGCTGCTGGTCCCACCAACCAAAGACTGCACAAAGATCACCTTGTAACAAAAATCACTTCAGCTCCATTTATTTCTTTAACGTCAGTGGAATCATAGAGATCACTTATAACCTTGCATGTTAAGTAAAGCAATTAATTGCACGACTGCACCAGGTTTAGACATGAAAGGCAGACTTAATAACAGGTTTAAAGAAAAAGGCTTAGAGTAGGGGTTCAGAATGCAGGATAAAGGTTAGTGGCAGCTAATACCAACTTGTGTATAGAGAGCAAGGTTAATAGCTGGCTTAAGACTGTGCTGCTTTTTTATTGATCTGAACAACGTACGCAATATGGGAGGTGGGACATCAGTGTTTTGATGGGAAGCAAGTGGCAGAAGCACCAAGATGCCCCTTCATTTGAAACATGTGGGTACAATAGGGCACCTAACACTTTGCAGAGTTTGAAGGTGAACTGACATACAGCTCTTATTTTCAAGGAACGTGAGAGGCCTACTTTGCATATTCCTGAAAGAAACGTCGTAAGCATGTTTGGATGTTGGGCTCCTCAATACCTTTTTAATACCTTTATTCTTAATGTTCTTAACACGTGCTTAGAGCAAGCAGAAGTGGAGGTTGGCAGGGAAAGATCAGCAATTGCCCACCCATAATTCATTTCCCAGGCTGTTCCCAGGGCACAGCGATTATGCACTTCACCTCACTCAAGACCGGCTGTAAAATCTCAGTATTGTCCTTAAGTGCTAAATCAAAGTAAGCAAAAACGGCAGGTAACCGTTTCCCACACAACTGACGTCCTTTGTAAGAGAACTACTGAACTGAAAATGAAAGGCATCCATAGGTGCATAACCAACATTTTTAATTTTACTTCTAGCAATCCAAGGCGCTGTTTAAACAACGATGCTATTACAGATTTACTTAGCTGATTCCTTTCTGAGTGCACCAGAACCCTGATCCTTCCAACAAAGAATGCCAAACAAAGCAGCATTAGGCAAGTTGCTGTGAAACGAAGGCATATTTGCAGAGCAATAGAAAGATCTAAACGGGATCCTAACGAGCAACCAAATAGTAACACAGCTGAGGGCATTGCTTTGTAGGAAACAAGTGGCTATTCTGAACCCTGAAGTGCCAAATGTACCGAGTCACAAGAGCTCACTAAAATGAGAGCAAACATCTCAATCCTTTGTATCTGAGTACGTACAAAGCTCAAAGCAGCTTGGGGTTTTACCCACCACAGCTCGGTGAGGATATCTTCACCATTATCGCATAGCACTTCTCTGTATATTGGTTCGGTTTTACTGAAGCTTAATGCATGAGAGGAAGTTAATATCGGACAGCTTTGAGTAGCTCATGATGAAGGATGGCTAAAAAGAAAACATACTAGCCTTTATATCTGACAACGTAGGGGGTGAAGAGGTGCTCAAAATATTTGGATTTTTGTTTTCACATCGATTCCATAGCTCCCACTTTAACAGTGTACCTTCTTTGTCCATGCTGCTCTGCCCTCTCTAGCTCCAAAGCTACAGCTAAAGTGCATCCAGCATCCATTCCCTCCTGCCCTGCTCTGGCGTCCCAGCAGGACCATAGCCAAGTCTTCTGCCAGGATGCCTCACCTTGTCAGCTGAATTCCTCCTAGAAACTGCCTCTTCACTTTGCTGAATGTTTGGGGACGCAGATAAATTATAAAATGGTAACGGAAATACAACAAGATATCTTCTTTCCAGATTAGATAATTATCCACCGAGAAATAAAATAGCAACAACAAAACAGCTTCAAATTCTTCTGAACGTAACGGACTCTTTTCAGAAACACCCCAACGCCTGAGCAACCATTTCTTGACTTGGAGGAGGGGAAAATGCCATAAAGCTTAAGGAGTATTTTGTTGGGGAAATCACATCTTTCCCTATTTTCCAGCTGACACATTGCACTGCAAATCTGTCACAGCACATTACCTCGGTGATGTAACGTAACGCAACACTGCTGATGCAACCCGATCTGATGTGTCTAACGTGATACATCAGGTACAATATTTGAGAAGCTTTTTCTGAAAACAACCTCTGTAGAAGAGATTCCTTCCCTCTTTACCAATTATGCATTAAAAAAAAAAAAAAAGCCTTCCCAAAGAATTGCATCACCAGGAGATAATTGCTTTTTCACAGGTAATTAGCAAATACTATTAGTTGTGGGAAAGGTTTGCTTTTCAGCAATTCACACCTAAAAAATAGTGAAAACAAAAAGATTGTTGCTGACCACAGCTTCCAATGGCACCAACAGAACGCACCTGAGTAGCAGCGGTTACAGGGTCAGATCACGCCACCACTGGACTCATTTTCTGTTTCCCACCAATGCTCACAGCATAACCAAAAGTAGGTTTCCATCTTGTGAACCCTTCACAAACTGACTGACAGCTAATTTTGCTAATCTCTGCAGTAGATGTCCATCACAGAATCAAATAAAGATACATCTCTCAGCACGGGAAGCTCTGCAGAGTGCCTGCAATCCTGCAGAAAACTGCTGGATTTTACATACAGAAGGACGCAGTCCATATCACCATGATCAGATGAATACTAAGGATTAATGGCCTTAAATATTCTACTGAAGTGGCAGTGGTATTTGTCAGCAGAGGAGACTTCAGCTGAAGCAAATGACCCGTTACTGCATTGAGGGCAGCCATCCAGAAAGCAGCAGCAACCACCTCTCCTCTCTGTATCACTTGATGGAAGGCAAACAAAGCTAACCTCACAGAACAGCTTGGCTTGGAGGGCACCTCGAAGAGCACCCTGTTCCAACCCCTGCCATGGGCAGGGCTGCCAACCACTCCATCCATCCATCACTAAGTCCCCACAAACTCTGTCAGTGGCTGCTATGGAGGGCTTCAGAGGAGGAAGCAGCCACCCCTCCATGGTGCTTCTTTCCCTCTCCTTTTCCCTTTCCCTTCCCCACCCAGCACTGCCCTGTGCAGGCTGCCAGCAGCAGGACTGGGGCACAGACAGAGCGCCAGGCCCTTCCACTCGCTGCTCAGACTGATTTTTCAAGTGTAAAATGTAATTCAAATCTCCATAAAAAGCTATTTGCTCCCTAGCCTCGCAATTCTTACACCAAGTTTCAACCGTGAAATCCAATTGGGGAAAAAAAAAAAATAATAAAATAAAATGCAAGCAGACTTATGCTCAAGGTCCGAAAATCCTGCAAGAGCCTTTAGCTCTCACACTGAATTGTATCTTAAATGGCATCTGACCGGTTCTGTCTCTCTCCTCTGAAGGGATGGCACAGTGCCTGGTCTCTAAAAGCCAAATCCTGAGAGCTGGGCACCTCCCCAACCTAAATTCAGGTACTCGTGGGCTATGTGCCCCTCCACAGAGCTGTTCTAGCAAGAGAATCAAAGTTGAGCTTTCTGGAGTTTGAAAATATGGCCCAAAATGCAACGATGCAAATTGATCTCTGAAATGCAGAGCCCATCCTGTCCAGCTCTGAACACTGCATATCATATCACAGCCCCCCCTGTGCCAGGCACACACACATTTCCAGCCCTTCACGATGCACTGCTGCTCTCTTTGTTGAGGCAATTCAGCAGAGAGCACAAATCCTGACGCATCTATTCCATGACCTGCTCCACCTTCTCTCCTAGTATGGATGATGCATTTTCCTCATTAGAGATGCTTATGTTTAAAACAAGATTAAATTACTGAGGATTGAGCAATGGGTAAAGAGATTTTTAAAAGGTTTGACACTTGGTCCCATTTCCAACCAACAGTCAAAAAGTTTGATGTATATCTAGACATTCCAAAGCTCTTGAGTATAAAAATTCATCACAACACTCAGGAACACAGGTTGATACTCCATCTGCTACACAACAGACAATTCAGCTTTCATCACTTCAAACATTTTCTGAATCAGGAACTTTCAGTAGGTCCAAGGATGGTAACAGCACAGGGTTACCAAGAGCCCAAATTCTAACTCAGAAATAGATAAAGCTTTCAATTGTCACTGTTTCTAATTCCTCAGTTAACCTGAATTATAGGAAACAACATAACGATTTCTATTTGCATGCATGTTCTGCTCCAATGCCATAAATCATAACCACAACCTCGACTGGGCTCTCTATAGGCACAGAAACAGGCAAAAATCATTAATCTTTCATTAAACACAGAAGAAGTTTCTGGCTTTTATGATGATAACACAGAGCTTGAAAATACAATCTATGTGTATTCTAAAGGCTCAGAATGAGCCTCGTGTTATCAGTGTATCATTAGCTACAGATCGTCCCCTTTTTTGTCCACAGGATGTGAGATATTTCTGAAGAGCCCTGAAGTGATGTGTGCCACACGTGTGAATTGCTCCACACACCCAACCCAGCACCAGGTGCCACCTGACCGCCTCATGCTCGCAGAAGACAGAAATCAGAAGAGCTTTTTCCAACCCAAACCTCTCTCTCTGGGTTTTCTCTCCTGACCTCTGAGTGTGAAGGCATACCGCTCTCAAAAGGCATTCTGAAACTTCCAGCCATCCCTTGTATCACACATCTTTTGCTTTCTGCTTTTATGACCAGCTCATATGACCCATGGGACCCCGTGCTTCTGGGTGAAATCAGCCACCCCATCGGAAAGCCATCGTGCAGAGGCAATTACTTCTCTGCCATCACTATTCACCCCATATCCTGCTTTCTGTTGGAAGAAACGTTGGCCCGGTTGTCTGGCTTCTAATTAAGAACACTTCATTATATCTCAGGGACTGGGAAACCTCATCTGTATCTATTTATGTAGCACACCTATGGCTGCAGGAAAAAAACATCTTTTTTCGAGTCATGGGTTTTGTGCCATGACGTGGCAGTTAGTTATCTGCAGCAACATCAGGTAACAGCACCACCTTCTGCCAACATGATACCATCTCCTTAGAAAACCAACAGATTAATTTTCTCTCTGTGATTTCCGTGGCTTTCTCAAACATTTCTGACGCAGAAGAACACCACCCTAAGGGCTGTTTTGAAACACCCCAAGCTGCCTTGAACAGTGATGAAATGACCAACATGTAACCAACTTTAGAGGAGCACTGAATGCCCTGAGCTGGGCAACACAACTCTCGCTCCTGGGAGGACAGCTGAGCACACCCATCTGAGTCTTCATGGAAAACTGCCTTCTTCTCCTCCCTCTTTTACATAGGTCCCCAGAGCTGCACACAAGGCTACGTCCTAGATCTTTAGATGACATAAGCTGCCTGAAAATAATCATCTTTCTTGCTTTTTTCCTCTAGGTTCTCTTTGTCCTTAGCAGACAACCCGGGGCTGCCCTGCCTTCAGCTTCAGACAGCCAAATTTTAGGCAGTTGGCTTTCAGAGAGATGAACATTACACAATATAAGTATTCACTTTTAAGAGCACAACTGTGTCTTTACCTCAACAAACGCCCTATTTTCCTGACATATTCTTCCTTCCATGTGGGACCGAGGTGCACACAGATCCAAGGAACCCAGGAGGAATGTCAGTGGACACATAGGTGAAGAATAAGGTGCTGATGAGCCAATCAATAAACCAGTAATTAGCTCTGTTTGGGTTTTGGTGTTTTGCTGCGTTATTTTCCTGCTGGTTTTGAAAAAAGTTTGCTTATCTTAGTTTTATAACCACTTAAATGAATCCCAGCTCTGTTCAAATCAATGAAAGCTTTTGTGAGACAGCTGTAATTTTATGTGCATGTGTTTCAGTAAATTAGAGGGTTTAGCCTTAAGGATTCACTTTAGTGTAATCTACTAAAAAGATAAGTAGAGCCAGATGCAGTGTCTTACAACCACTGGACAGTTGCAACTGGAGCGACAGCACTGACAGCAACTTTATGGCTTTCCTCATAGGGAGCAGATTTCCTGACTCAAAAAAAGCAGTATTTTACATAAATAATTGTAAATATTTTGTATTTACAATGCAAAGAAAGAAGGGTGCAAGTAGTAGGAAGAAAAAAAAATTAGCCCAGGCAACTGATGATGGCTTTCTCACATTCTGTTTGTGCACAACTGTGGAAAAAGACAATCTGTAGCTTAAACCATTTAACTAAATTAAATTCTAGTTAGCATCTGGGATCCCGTCAATAAGAGTCTATATTTCTGAGGAGCCACAGACTGGTGGCAGTAATAGACACATAAAGAATTTAATAGGTAAATAAATTTGTTGCTGCATTTCTCTCGCTAGCAGAATGCAGCCCAGCAGAGTAATTAGTTGTTAGATATCTGACTGTAATGAGAAGGATCCTCTAACTATTACAAATTCTCAAGAAAGAACGTTCACATCATTAGAAACGTTCATTTGTTCTGAAGCACATTCGCTCAGCACCAGAAGAAGTTGTCACCTGGTCCCTCACTCTATGTAAATCCTTAATAAAAGATTTTCATCACCATTAGAAAGCGATTTGCAGAGTCACCATCAGCCAGTGATCATTTCCCATGTCTGTCCCAAATCAAAATGAGAAGGATAAACGTCAGTGCAGTTTGGCTACAAATCCACAAACACTGGGTTGTCCCTCCATGCTTTTACCTGTCAGTGTTTATAAATCCCCTAACTCCTGAATTCACACTAGGGCTGTGCATCCAGTAATTGGCTCCAATAAATCCTAAGCGCTAAGTGTTTGTCCCAGTCTAAACAGCCTTTGTAGCTTCAGGATTTTACATTCAGGTAATCATCAATGCAGCAGGCCTTTTATCAGCACGGTTTCACGGCTGGTACCACCAACACACACACGGGGCTGAGCTCAGCAAGGAGCTGGACATGGGGACCCGAGGCTCTGTGTGCTCGCTCGTCTTTAACAGCTGGGGTGAAGCTGACCCCACAGCTGGAGGTGTGCCAGCATGCTGCAAACCAAAACCAGATCTCCTGACATTGAATCTATGCCTCATTTGTGCAAATCCATTTTCTTCCGGAATGCAGTTTGCCACTTCTGAATGGTTTGGGGACCAAATTCCCATTGAAGTCACCCAGGGTGAAATATGAACATGGACTGATGGCAGTGCAATTGCATTTTGGAAACTACTGTGCAAAGTAAGTCTGGTGGAGCATCACAGTTCATTTTCAATGGCCACACCTCCAACTCTCTCATCGCTGTTTAGTCATTAGCTTCCAAAACACAAACTTCCAAACTCAACACAAAATCTGCAAAAATACTAGGTTGCTATCTTTCTGACTCTAATTTACCACCATTAACAAAGACATTTCAAACAGCAGGAGTAAGGACTGCAAAGCCACTGTAAAGACAAAGAGCACAGAGCCCCCAGCATTAGAGAGCAAACGATGGGCCCAGGCTGAGGAGGACAGGGAAATAACAAGCCTAATTAAAGCACCGAATGCAGGGATGGGCTGCCCACAATACCTTAATTTTGTCACTAAAGTGGATACAATTCGGAACACCCTGGAAAGATGACATTCCCGTCGAAAGAAAATCCTTTTCTGCTGACAGCCAGGTGGTGAGAGCTACAGGAGCTCACTTCTTTAGCTGGGAAGGAGCAGAGCTGATGGGACATTCTTGGTTCAGACCAACAGCGGAGAGCTTCAAAGCTAACAACGGAGACAGAGCAGGGTCTGAGCTTGACTGCAGCTCTGGATGTAGCACAACATGCATTCTTCTCAAATAGACTGACATCTGGCAAACACCTGAATGGGAAAACTACCAGCAGTTATGTGTTTGCTGAAATGCTCATCTCGTCTTTTTTCTTTTTTTCTTTTTTTTCTTTTTTTTTTTTTTCCTGAATTGCCAATAAGATTACATTTTCTTTATTGCCCTCTCATTGATTTGTTCCTCAGAAGCAAATGACAGCATTTCTGAGAAATAAGTAACCAAATAAAATAAAGCTGAGAGGCAATCTGCATGTAAATCAGCATTAGTCATTGACATTTGAGACTTGACAATAAGCCATCCCAGTCCCAGCTGTCCCCACAAAAGCTGATCTCCTTTGTAAGACAGAGAACACTGCGAGCAAGTGGAACCAAGGATGAATATAGATAAGATACAAACTCTCTTTGCTCGAAGTTTTTCCTAAAGCCTCCTTTGCTCTGAGCACCCAGGAATACTCCTACCTCTGGCTGCTATTGGTGTCAGCACTGTCTTTGGCACTTTCCTTCCAAGGAAGCTGGCTCCCTTCGTGTGAAATTGTTTAAGACACATTTGCTGTGTGCGCAGTTGCAGCTCAGACGGCTGCTTAAAGTGCAGTGCAGTCATTACTCTGTTCTCTGTACTAGGCACCACCTGTAGTAAAAGCTATTAGGTTAAGTACTGCCTTCCTACTTTGTGAATAATTGCTTTTACTCTCAATTCCAGCGCTGCTCAGGAAACACTGTTGAGCAAAAACAGAGATTTGTGTTTATATCACAGATATTGATGGAGATTACGCCTGGGTCTGAACAGCACCACAGCCATTGTATCTGGCCAAGCCAAGCTGCTTAGCTCCAGCCCTTACCCACATTTCTTCTGAAGCTTCAGGTATGATTTTATGTTGCTCTGAGCTATCTCATCTGTGCCAGTGGAAGGAATTTCAGTTGCTTGTAAGGATGAGGGCCCTCTGAGCAGTGAGGAAAACACAGGCACACTCCATGGCAATAACCCAAAGCCAGGGCAAGGTTTCTACTGCTGCCAAAACGCTATAAACCTGCACTCCCCTATATCCCAAAAGCAGGAGATGCTGCACAGCATGAGAACAAAACCTTTCCCGGTGTTTCCCTTAATCTGTTAAGCAACAGAGAACATCAGGTATCTATAGCCCCAAAAAAGTAGTTCACTCAAATGTGCCAGCAACTAAATATAGCTAAATTATGCATTAAGTACAGCTTCTGATTCTCTTTTTATGGAGGATACTACTCTTCTTGCAGAGGTGCATCGGTGAGCCCATTTTGACTGTTCCTGAATTTCTTTGTGGAGGAACTACCCTGGTTTCATACGGAATCTTTCAGTGCCTTTTTTGTTGGTTAAACTGGAACTCTTGCATTGACCTTCTAGTTAAAGAGTGGGTGGAAATACTTGCACAGGACTTTGACTTCTGTGGGGCATGGATGGCTGCCAGGTCTACGGGTCGATCCTTTTCACTTAGGTTTTTAGTTTTATTCTTTTCTATTGAGGCTGTAGAAAACCATAAAAACAAAACCCCTGCCACCCTCTTCCTTCAATCAAATTATGGAGAAAACACTTTCAAAGTCCCAAAGCCTTAATTATGTGCATAAGTTTCAGCATAACGTAGGCTTGGTGTTGCTAAACAGAGCAATGAGGTGATGGAAGAATGAAAATATTGATTTTCTTTGGCAGAGACGAGGAGTCTCAACCTTGGGTTTTTGCAGGAGTGTTATCAGCTTCACCAAGTCTAATTATCTTCGTGCACTGGGGTCATGTCTACATAGAAATTGAGGAAGAGTCTGATCAACAGCTGAGATGACAACCAAACGCTTAGAAACACTGGTCCATATTAATCTCCCCTGCATTTTCTATGCTTGTTTATGCACAGACAAACACAGATCAAAGCTCCTCTATCTCCTGTAGATGACAAAGTCTGAAAGGCTGGAAGAAGCTGACCCTTGCAGAAAGCTCATGAAAGGTCATGTGCCCATTAAGAAAACTGGAGAAGCCTGTGCATCAATCCTCAGCTGGATGAGCGTGCCCTCCTCTACAAGGTGGCTGTTCAGGACACAAGTGAATGTCACATTCCCAATGTTTTTAACATTATCTGGTTACTGGAAGCTGTTACCTTTACTGCGATGCCTTATCTTGAGCATGCATTCTTATGCTGGACCTTACCATTCTTAAAAACATAACATTTCCCTGCCCCAATTCTTTTCCAGTATCCCACTATGCTCTATTGTGCTTTCTCTAGCAAACCTCCACATCAAAAAGTCAGTTACAACAACACAAGAACCATTAATGACTAACATGCCAAGAAAATGTTAGAACAGGATGGAGCCTACCCTGAAAAAATGTGCCATTCTTCCTGTATTTTCTGCAGTTGTAGCTATACTGTCACATCACATCAGCTCATCAGCCCCTGTGCGCCCAAAGAGAAACCCAAGGAAGAAACACGCTTTCTGAAGTGATGAGAGACAGAGATGAGGGTGTCCTTGCAGAGGGCAAGGAAGACTGCTTCAGCTACAGAGTGAGCAGCAAACGTGCTTTACAGGGACAGGTGTGCTCTGGGGACAACAGAGTCCTTCCCTGCCCACATCTCCAGCGTCTGAAGAAAAGGCAGGGTTTGGCATTGCACCTCACATCTTCCCAGGATGAGCCTGGAGACAGATCCTTCCCTGCCTCGCACTGTAACCCCAGGCACAAGTAACAACCACATGAATGCACACGGTTGACATGCTCACAGTGCCTCATATCTTCTGCTGTTTAGGTAAAAAAACAAAACAAAACAACAAACGTAATCTATCCGTGATCACTGCCCTATATGTACTGCTTGTCAGCCAACCTATATTTCTTGTCAACAAGTTTTCACATTTCAAATTTTGGAAGAATATTTCTGTTGTCCTTTCCACAACGCTGTACTCCTCCTTCCTTTTCAGCTTTACTCACAAGCAGTTCATTT